TTTTTCTTAATTCCTGCTTCTATATAATCATTGTCCCTTTATTTATAGCTTTTTGGAAAATGGATTGTTTAAAATTTTTGTTAATTTTGGCCTACTTGGGTTTAGTTAGGTCTACAAGCAGAGCTTTCCCACCACTGCTGTATTTTATTCAATAATTTTATTTATTTATAGACATATTATATACAACCATCTCATAAAAGAAAATTGTGTGGTACAGTCATTTAACAATATATGTAACATAAAAATTAAACATCAGTTTAATAATACAGGACAAAATAATATCATTTAACATAACTGGCTGAACAATAATATATTAAACCAGTGGTTTTTCAACCAGTGTGCGGGGCACCCTCATAGCTGTTCAACCATCTTATTTGGCGGCAAAGTCCCTTATCCAGCGCTGTGTCCCACTGCTGCCCTTATTGATGATGTCCCTTAAATTTCCCGGTTTTCAAAGAAGCATTCTCCTCTCCTTTCTCCTTGCCGGCCAGGGAGGAGGGAGGCTCCACTTGTTGCTAGGCTTGCGTTGCTCACCCAATAAAGAGTCTAAAGAATGACTTGGGGGGGGAGTGGACTTTGCATGCTCTTGTGCCGAATCAATCGGCCGCAGTTGCCTGGGACTCGCCTTTTTGCTCAGCGCTTTCCATGGAGAGGTGACGGTGGTTCTCCTTTCCAGGTTGCTGCCTGTGGAACCATTCGCTTGAGCTTATTTGGTCTGGTGTTTTTGCCTTTTGGCTTGAGGGCTCAGAAGTTGAATACCTGTGCTGGAAAATCCTTATTTTGGCTGCTTTGATCCCTTATTTTTCGAGGCTGCTGGTCCCTTATTTTCCAAAATCTGTAAGTTGACAGTATGGGACCCTGAGGTAACGTTGAATTTGCTGGTCAGGGGTTTTCTTGGGCAACATTGGCCTCTGTTCCCTCTTTCCTTCCTTCCCATCTCTGATGCCCTCTTGAATTTTCTGCCTCCCAAAGGCTTTGTAGGCTGTTTTGTTGCAAAGCAGCCCCAGCTAACAAGCTCCGCAAGCGAATGTGCCTCTGGGATTGGCCAGGAGCATTGGTTAGAGAAGAGGAGTGCGGGGAGCACCCACCCCCGGCAGGGCGTCCCAGTGGGGTGCCATCATGGCTGCCCCCTGCCCATGCTGGGCGACACGCCCCCAGGATGTGCGCCACCCGCCTCGCCTGCTCTCCGCCCCCTGGTGCCGGAGCATGAAGCTCCACCATGCCTAATGGGGTGATAGTGGCCAGGAGCTTAAAGGTGGCCTCAAGAGTAGCAAGCAAGCAGCGAGGGAGCAGCCGCCAGTTCCGCCGCCCTGGCTTGTATCCCATTGCCCCTGAGGCAGTGGGGAGCAGCTCAGAGACCAGGCACAGCAGCAGCTGCCCGGAGGATCCCAAGGAGAGGGAAGAGCTGAATGAATGCTCCACAAGGGGGGTGTTCAAAGAAAAGGGTGAGGGGCTGCCAAAGCTCTGCATGCAAAGGGGTGACATAACTGGGCTCCTGAGTCCCACAGGAGTGCCGCAGAAAAAATGCCGTTGTTCAAGGAGCCTTTGGACTCAAAAAGGTTGAAAACACTCTGGTTTTAAACAATTTGCATAGCCTTCAACAATGAAAAGGTATTTGAGAAACACTGAAAGTCAAAAGCGAGGTTGCCTGTTGCATCTCTGCTGGAAGAATGCTCCGTACATGGGATGGCAGCTTCCAAATGCCCAACTTTAGTTGAGGCTAGACCTTCAAGTGTCCCTATTCCCAGGAAAGAATTCCTGGATTTACAGAAGCCATCCTGGTTTCTGATTTGATCCTGGAATGTCCCGCTTTTCTTTAGGACGTCCGTATTTTCATCAGAGAAATGTTGGGAGGTATGGAGTTATGCAATTCTAAGCCTAAGGAAATCTGAGAACATCTGAAGGCATTCCTGTACAGGGATTATTTTTTGAATGTTTTAATGTTTTTATTATGTTTTTCATATATTGTTGGAAGCTGCCACAAGTGGCTGGGGCAACCCAGTTCAGATTGAGCAGTGTATAATATATATAATAATTAATAATAAATAATAATAATATAATAATAATGACATCCCTAGTTTCATCGGAGAAAATTTTTGGCGGGTAAGAATCACTTGTTGAATTGATAAGCATTTTTTACTCATTAATTGCTAATTAGTCTCTTAACAAGCCAGACGTCTTCTACGCTTTTTGAAGTGACAAAACAGGCTTCTGCTCCTGATTAGTTTATGGCACTCTTCAGGCGGACCAACTTCGCTGCCCTTCATTCCCGAAACAAAAATGCAGAATTGTGTAAATTGGAAACAGTTCCTGGGAAGAACCAGAGCCACTTGCTTGCGATTTGCTTGTTAGAGGGGCTTGGCGCATCGATAGATCAAAAGCTCTGGTGCGGACAAAGCAGCAGACAGCTCAAAAAGCAAGAAAGCAACTTGAGCTCATGAAAAGAAGAGATGGTTTTTGCAGGAAATCTTTGGTTACTGCCTGCAGCCTCATCCGCCGTGCTTTTTCCTGCTACTATCACCTTTTTACGTATACGTAGAAAAGCGCCTTTTTCTTAGCTTCTGGCTCAATGTCTGTTCTAAAATAACACAGATAACAGCCCTGCTTTTTGCCCTTCTCCTGGAGTGTTTTTTGCCAAGCTGGAAAGTGCCCTTGAACTCCTGAAAATGCCTCTAAGCTTGCCTGGAAGGTAGAGATAAGAGAGATGTGTTTGTGCTAGAAACCAGAACAAAGGGAAATTTGCATTCTCTGCTCCTCCCACTTTAGCCCCTGGCCCACCCACCACTGACCTGTGGCCCTTTAGACATTTAGGTAAAGGTAAAGGGACCCCTGACCATTAGGTCCAGTCGTGACCGACTCTGGGGTTGGGCGCTCATCTCGCTTTATTGCCGAGGGAGCCGGCGTACAGCTTCCGGGTCATGTGGCCAGCATGACTAAGCCGCTTCTGGCAACAGAGAGGCACAGAAAGCTTTACCTTCCCACCGAGCGTACCTATTTTCTACTTGCACTTTGACGTGCTTTCGACGCTAGGTTGGCAGGAGCGAGACCGAGCAACGGAGCTCGCCCCGTCGGGGATTCAACCCCGACCTTCTGATTGGCAAGCCTAGGCTCTGTGGTTTAACCACAGCACATTGCCCAGGCATTAATGCGCTCTCAGGTGTGAAAGGTCTCCCCATCCGTGTAATGCTATGGTATCGGTGATGTGGTGTTACCTTGCCCTAAAATGTTTGATGAGTTCTCATGAGGACTTTTTGGGTGTGTGTTTTGTTGTTTTTTAAAAATTGCAGATTGATGTGGAAATGTGGAGAACAAACTCAAGGGTGGAAAAAACGAGAAATTGAAAGAAACAAACGACAGATTCTGCTCCAGGTCCCAGCTCACAGAGGACCAACGCTTAGCCGGTAGTAATGTACAAAAGTCTTTATTAAATACAGTTTCCATTTTCAAGCCGCAGCGCGCAGCTTCTACGTTAAAGCTAGACCGGCGAAGCTCCATTCTGAATCTCCACCCCCTGTACACCAGTTTAAGACTCTAACTTACTCCACCTCTTCCGTCTCTCCTTTCTCCTCTGGTCCTTCTACCCTCCCGGGGTCCCTTCCTTCCTGGACTTCTTCTGACGCTGACCCCCCTGACTCTTTCTCCCTCCTTTCGGCGGGCTTTAGCACTGCTCCCTATCCGGCTGCCAACTGCGCCGCCCTCTTGTTACTTTTGAATTTGGCGCGCGCGCCAGTCTTCCGACCTTCTTTTGACCGTTTCCTCCTCTCCGATGGAGTTAGTGCCAATCCTGCTCATGTTCCTCCGCTGGCGGTGAGCCGCCTGATCCCGATACTGGGATCCTCCCCCCTACTGCTCTGTGGAGAAGCTTGGTCGGATTTCCATATTGCTTTTTTGCTGCTCTCTGAGTCCCTCTGGCCCTTCTTCCTGGGGTGTTCCCCCTAGGCAACCCCTTGCTCTGACCTGAGCCCCTTTCTGTGAATCCTCCGATTCGCTGAGAGACTCAAGACCTCGGACCGCTGTCATCGCTACTATTTTCTTCGGATTCCTCCGCTCGCTCTCTATTTCCTCTCCTTTCCTGTGCCTCAGCTCCTTGACCCCTGACACATATGATAACCAGTGTGGTGTAACAAAGGCCATGTTTTTCCACCATTTCATTTTAAAGCGCTATTGATGCCACTTTAAACATCATGGCTTCTCCCCAATTAATTCTGGAGAAGGAGTTTGTGATGGTTGCTGAGAGCGGTTAGGAGACCCTGTTCCCCTCACAGAGCCACAGTTTTCCAGAGTGGTTTTGCAAGCATCCCTCTTCAAGGGAACTTTGGTGAATTATAGCTTTGGAGGGAAATGGGAGTCTTTTAGGGAAGAAATTGGGAGGCGGGTGGCGCTGTGGGTTAAACCACAGAGCCTAGGGCTTGCCGATCAGAAGGTCGGCGGTTCGAATCCCCACGATGGGGCGAGCTCCCGTTGCTCTGTCCCTGCTCCTGCCAACCTAGCAGTCCGAAAGCACGTCAAAGTGCAAGTAGATAAATAGGTACCGCTCTGGTGGGAAGGTAAACAGCGTTTCTGTGCACTGCTCTGGTTTGCCAGAAGCGGCTTAGTCATGCTGGCCACATGACCCGGAAGCTGTACGCCGGCTCCCTCGGCTAATAAAGCGAGATGAGCGCCACAACCCCAGAGTCGGTCACGACTGGACCTAATGGTCAGGGGTCCCTTTACCTTTACCTTAGAGACACAATTGGTAATGTTTGATTCTTGTAAAGGGCCCTGTGCCCATGGCACTACATGGGTAATTCAGCAGGGCTTTGGAAATTCAGCATAGTGACAAGCTTCACAAAGCTCTCTGGCACTCCACAGGGTGAAATTCAATACCACACTATTACATTTGTTCTGTCAGGACCAGTGACGGACCTTGGCATCTTGAATTTTAGTAGCACCCCGTGTGACACCAACATCTGGTGCCCTGCCCCACCTCTCACCTTCCTCTGCCCCATAATCCTACTTACTCAGAGGAAAAATAAAGTTGATTGGAACGCATCACATCTAGCAGCATTCTCAGCAGCTGGTTTCGTAGCCAAATCATTTCCCCAGATGTTTGGCCTAAGCCTAAAAATCAGAAGACGAAAACAGATGTGCATGTAGTTCTGAACAACCTGGTTTAATCTTATTTGTCCCCCCCCCCCCCGGTGAGGCAACAGCGAATTAGTTCCTAAAGGTTTGCAACAGCCGAGAACTAAAAATGAATATGAGAATTGTTTTATTTCTAAAAGAGCCACACTCTAAGGCAGCAAAAGCCAACATGGTACTCTCCAGATGCTGTCAGCCTTTCCATCCCTTCTGCGCCCCTAGTGTGAATCTAACCCACTCATCCAGCCCACTCATCCCTGCTATAGTAGCCTTGGCAATAGCCAAGCTGCATCACTGCAGCTGTGGAAATCACTATTTATTTGCGTAAATGGAACCTCTTGAATATTCAACACAGTGCCAGTCCTTACCATCTTCTTTTCTTTTTTAAAAAAATGAATTTTATTAGTATTTTCCACGCAACAACAACAACACAAAACATATCAAAAAATAACAATACACAACACACAAAAATCAACATTCGAAAACTAAAAAAACAAACAAAAAACCATATCTTACAAGTTAATATTATAAACACTAAAACAACAACAAGAAGACATTGATTTCCACCAATCCCACAGCACCTCCTTTATCTCTCATTGCGTCTTCCTGTTTTCCTGTTTTCTTTATCATCTCTATCCTAACATCTAGATATAAATCCTTCTTTCATATCCTTTCACTTCACAAGGTTCTTCCAGACTCAGCCAGATTTCTGCCCTCGAACCTTGACTTTTGAGGTATTCATTTAGGCACTCCCATTCTTTTTTTACTTCACTTTTTGGTTTTTGTCTTATTATGTCTGTCAATTTGGCTAATTCTAAGTATTCTGAGAGCTTACATAGCCACTCTCCCCTAGTGGGTAACTGATTCCCTTTCCAGTACAGTGGTGCCTCGCAAGATGAAAAGAATCCGTTCCGCGAGTCTCTTCGTCTTGCGGTTTTTTCGTCTTGCGAAGCAAGCCCATTAGCGGCTTAGCGGATTAGCGCTATTAGCAGCTTAGCGGGCTTAGCGGATCAGCTGATAAGCGGCTTAACGATCAGCTGTTAAGCGGCTTAGCGGCTTAGCGGATCAGCTGTTAAGCGGCTTAGCGGATCAGCTGATAAGCGGCTTAGCGATCAGCTGTTAAGCGGCTTAGCGGCTTAGCGGATCAGCTGTTAAGCGGCTTAGCGGCTTGGGAAAAAGGGAGGGAAAAGGGGAAAAAAACCCTGCAGGAACTCGCAAGACATTTTCGTCTTGCGAAGCAAGCCCATAGGAAATTCGTTTTGCGAAGCACCTCCAAAACGGAAAACCCTTTCGTCTAGCGGGTTTTCCGTCTTGCGAGGCATTCGTCTTGCAGGGCACCACTGTACTTAGCCACCAGGATTCTTGCTGCAGACGTTGCGTATAAGAAAAAAATAGTTTTGTCTTTTGGAATATCGTCATTTAAAATTCCTAAAAGGAATGCCTCTGGCCTTTTACTATATGATATTCTTAATATTTTCTTTATTTCTTCGTGGATCATGCTCCAAAATTTCCCAATTTTGGCAGTCCTTACCATCTTCATAGTCCGGGCAGGTATGGCTTTCATCCACAGAGGAAGGGTATAAAGTGTAGACCAAGAACAAGCCGACCCTTTCAAAGAAAGGGGAAACGGTCAATTGTCAGTAGCTTTACCAGTTCTCCACGTCAACACTGAGCATCTTTCTTAGTGTGAGCTCAGAACACTGTTCTAATTGGCTAAAAAATGTGATAAGTTGTTCACCACAGAATCCCTTAATATGGCACCCACTTCAATTCCTAGAACCATGTTTTGTGTTTCTTAGTTTCTAAAAAGTCACAGAACTTTTCCCTAGGAAATTGGGTGAAGATGCTCTCTGCCTTCCCTTGCTGTACTGCAAGTCACTAGGAAGATGGAGGTATTGATCGGCTCCCCTCAGCACAATGGGTGAACTGGAGAAGCGTTCATAACCCATCCCTCAAAAAATAAACTGGTAAAAGACCTGAAAGGGTGTGTGTGCAAAGTTTAGGGTGATGTGTTTGTCTCGATCCTACTTCCTATAGATGCTTCCTGCCCCCCCCCCCCACACTTTGGGAAAGATGAATGATAATACCAATCAATATCTTTGATGCTGAAATGGTAGCGCAGCAAATGCGACAGTACGGTACAGATTCTGCCGATGCGAGAGCGTGTGATCTCAGGGTCACTGAAGAGAATAAAAAGCCTGGGTACCATCTTCACCCGATGAGCAAGCTGCATATCCCAGCTTCCTTTTCTGTAACAGACAAAAGGATCACTAGCCACCTTTCTTGGAAGATGATGAAAACAACCAAATCTGCATTTCTCCTATACAATTGCTCTACCTTCTGGACCTTTGACTTCTGATGTTGCCTTGGCAACCCGTCAAAAGACTGACGGGGAAATCAAATAGTTTTCAGTGTCAGCCAGGGGGATAAATTGTTGTCATCATTTCACCTCTTGCTCTTTACCTCTTCCCCTCAGGCCCATAACTCTTCCTTGATATTTGCCCTGACTTAGAGAGTTCAAATCAAACAAAAGTATTGATTTCTGGAGCTGTACGTCGGTGGAAATAAATGCTTTTCTTAGAAAAGTCAGTAGAAAACATTATCAGGATCCTGGAAGGCCTTTTAATGAGAAGGAAATAGAATTCACAGGTCTCCAATATGTTTTAAAATTACAAAAGGAGAGTGCGTGCTTGAGATTTCTTGGCAGTTGTAAGGCATACCTGATATCTGTTAAATGTTCCTGAATGTGCCTTTAAGAACATATCCCAAGGGGTCTGTTTTAGTGTGAAGCTACAAATTATAGTAAACATGCATTTTAAAAAAGCACTCTTAAGCTTCCAGTTATGTTCTGAAGTAACAATAGCCACATGAATCCTTTATCTCTATTTATGGACAAAATAAGATCAGCACCCCCACCTGATATTTGCCTTTGACTATATCCTTGGCAGTAAACGGCACTTTTGGGGGACAAATAGCAACAATTTCCAGTGGGAAACCAGCATGGGACCATGTTTCACACTAGGACTTCACCCAGCTGCTTTTCTTTCAAACTAAAAACTGTTTGAATTTCATTTAATGGGTAGTTTGGCCCTAAGGTCCACCTAGCGTAGCATTCTTTGTAAGGTTCCTAGCAAGTAGCATGGGCTCCCTTGGGAGTTGGCCAGTGGTCAGCTGGTGGACTGCAGTCTATGCTCTGTCAATCCCTCTTCTAAAAGCTGAGCATAAGGAGAATTTCAGGCCTGCCCCCTTTGCTCCATGAACCGCTGAGCAAAACTGAATGGAGGAAATGTGCATGACTGGATGTTTGTGATTGCTGAATTCAAACAAATGTTATGGCCGCACCTTCACCCCACAAAATGTGTTGCATGTGTTTAGCCCCTGATTCCAGGCTCCATGAACATGCTGACCAGCCCACCTACCTTGAGGTTTGTAGGATTTCTGTTAGGTGTTCAAAGAGAGAAATCTCCATATTTTCAGGAGCATGGCACCAAAGCTGAAAGCCAAAAGGAACAGCACTCAGAACTTTGAGTGGCTTGTGTTCTGTTCGTTAGGTAAACTTTGCATGCTGACCAAAATGGTGCGACCTGGACACAGGTCGGCAGCCTCACTCAATGAGGCTTATACGGAATGAGATTTCTTTCTATAGAGTGGGGAAGCCCCCCTCCCCCCAAAAAAAGTATGAAAGAGATTTGGCATCTTTACCTCAAAGCAGCAGACAATATGCTGGAATGCCTCCAAGTTCTTGATAGTGGGGGCGTCCTGGCTGATCTCAGCAATGCCCGCAAGGGCAAAGACGAGTTGCAGAATTCTGCTGTTTAACAAATGGATCTTTCTTTTCAACAGGTATGCCAGGAGCTGCAAATTGATGGGGGAGGAATTCAGTTTGGTTCACAACCTTAACGCAGACCTACCTCATTCACACTTCCTGAAACAATATATGAATTTTGCGGTGCAGTTCTCAACCCCCCCCCACCAAAAAAAAACGTAGTCCAAAAATGCTTAGATTAGGAGAAAACGCATATAAAAATGCAGTTCACTAGGAAGAACTGATAGCAAAAACATATATATTAGGAAAAATTACATCCTCCAATAGGTATATCGCGGGGAATGTGCAGTAAAATGTCAACTTTTTGTGAGAACTTTATTTTTTAAAATTGCAGATTGATGTGGAAATGGGGCAAACTTATGATTGGGAAAATGGGAAACAGAAATATTGAAGTTGACAAAAGCTGTCTAACTGGCACAGCCTGGTTTTTAAAGAGAGTGGGTGGAATAAGAAAACCCCCCCTTCCCCAGTGTATCTTCTTCCACTGAAGAACGGAAGTAATTCTGAAAATTCAAAATCATCAATACTGAATTGGATTGTGCAATTATAGAATGCTACTTTCCTCTGTCTGTTGGAGAAAGAGTGCAGTGAAAATCTATTAGGAATTGTAGGTGCTGATATTCCAAAGGAGCAGAAAAGACTTTTTATGTATGGAACAACAGCTGCCCAGGTGGAAAGAAGACCAGAGAGGAATGGCAAACCAAGCTGATGGATAATAATAATAATAATAATAATAATAATAATAATAATAATAATTTATTATTTATACCCCACCCATCTGGCTGGGCTTCCCCAGCCACTCTGGGCGGCTTCCAAAAAAATATTAAAATACTGTAATACATCAAACATTAAAAGCTTCCCTAAACAGGGCTGCCCTCAGATGTCTTCTAAAAGTCTGGTAGTTGCTGTTCTCTTTGACATCTGGGACATGTGGGAGGACATTCCACAGGGAGGGCGCCACTACCGAGAAGGCCCTCTGCCTGGTTCCCTGTAACTTGGCTTCTCGCAGTGAGGGAACCGCCAGAAGGCCCTCAGCATGGGACCTCAGTGTCCAGGTAGAACGATGGGGATGGAGACACTCCTTCAGATATACTGGACCGAGGCCGTTTAGGTCAGCACCAACACTTGGAACTGTGCTCGGAAACGTACTGGGAGCCAATGTAGGTCTTTCAAGACCGGTGTTATGTGGTGTCGGCGGCCGCCCCCAGTCACCAGTCTAGCTGCCGCATTCTGTATTAGTTGTAGTTTCCGGGTCACCTTCAAAGGTAGCCCCGCATAGAACGCATTGCAGTAGTCCAAGCGGGAGATAACCAGAGCATGCACCACTCTGGCGAGGCAGTCCGTGGGCAGATAGGATTTCAGCCTACGTACCAGATGGAGCAGGTAAACAGCTGCCCAAATAAAACACCACATGAGGGATAAGGAAGAGCACTGTTGCTGTGGAAAATGAATTAGCATCTCACCTGGTACCCACCAATCTGTCTCATTAGATTTTCGCTCATTGCACTGCTGCAGAGAACAGTGTGCAAGACTTTGACGGCAGCATACACAGTGTGGTCATCGTGGGCCATGGCAAGGAGACCCAGCATAATAGCAGGGCCTCCTATGTAGTTCAGACTGACCGCTGCTGGGCAGGACTGGAAAACCCGGGTCCCTGTAAGGAAGGCGAGAATAAAGTGAAGAGGCAAACTCGCTATAGTCCCATTTAGGAAAAAATCAAAAACACAGAAAGCAACAAGGATTGAGAAGAGAGATTGGAAAGCCCGACAGCAGAATCAGGTTTCTTTATTACATACAATTGTGCATCTTTCTAGCCATGTAGTTACAGGAAGGAAACAATTTAAAGGGGCCCCCAATTTCTGTCACCGCCAGCAAAAACGAATACAGTGGTACCTCGGGTTACATACGCTTCAGGTTACATACACTTCAGGTTACAGACTCCGCTAACCCAGAAATAGTACCTTGGGTTAAGAACTTTGCTTCAGGATGAGAACAGAAATCGTGCTCCGGCGGAGCAGCGGCAGCGGGAGGCCCCATTAGCTAAAGTGGTGCTTTAAGAACAGCTTCAGGTTAAGAACAGACCTCCGGAATGAATTAAGTACTTAACCTGAGGTACCACTGTAAATGAATAGAAAGAGAACGTACCCACATGACACTAACACAAAATATTTGCACATACAGTATGTAAAATAATTAAAGTTTAACACACACAACCTTCTTTTCTCCTGCAACCTCAAACAGTGGTACCTTGGTTTACAACCATAATCCATTCCAGAGATCCGGTTGTAAACCAAAACAGGTTGTAACCCAAGGCACGCTTTCGCCAGTGGGGCCTCCCCCCCCAAAAAAAAATTGGTTGTAATAAAAAAAATGGGTTGTAATCCAAAAAAAGGGACACGCACTTCCGGGTTTGACGTTGTTGTAATCCAAAGCGATTGCAAACCAAGGTGCCACTGTACTGTCTATAACATTTGTGGCTCACATCAGATGTAACTCATCTGTAGAAAATGGCTCTATGAAATGAAAGCAGAGTCGCTGTATGTGCTTTTGCTACCCAAAAAAGCTTATTAAAATAACCAAAATTTTAATAAATGCCAAAGGAAGAACAATTGAGGAAGGGAAATATTCAACTAAGTTTTACTCGAACTAGGTCTACTGAAATCAATGGACATGACCACATTCATTTCAATAGATCTACATTGAGTAAAACCTAGCAGAACATCCGCCACTAAGTCTACCACTAGGTCCATATATAGAGAGAGAGAGAAAAGAGAGAGAGAGAGATTTTGCAAAAAGTACCAGTGCTATGACAGCACAGCTCAGTTCCCTCTCTCAAAATGTTCATTGATTTTATTGGTAAATTCCTCTTTATGAGTGCTTTGGGAAATTACATATGCAGCAAGAACCTATGAAACATTGTCCTAGTTACAAAAAGGGTCATTTTTCTTGAGTGATCTGCACAGGATAAGGGGAAGAGTTAGGTGACCTGGACTTGCAACTTTCAGTTGTCAGGGACAGGCAGGTGCCCCCAAATAGTGGGGGGGGGCATGGGGAGCATGGGTCTGTAGTCACAGTTTGCCTAGACAGCTAGTTAGCAGGAAGTGTTTTTGCATATCGCTTGCACATTAGGAGCTGATGTAGCTGAGAGCTTCGCCACTAAAGAATTAAAATCCAGTCGCTTGCCCCCATTGGTCCAGGGGTGGTTGGGGTGTCGGCCAATCCTGTGTGTCCTGAACACAGAATTGGTACAGCCAAGAAATGTTTGTATGCTAATTCAGCGGGAAAGACCCCCGCCCATTGGGCGGTTTAAACATCACGCCAACTGTAGCCACCCACCAAATGAAAAAGGCTTTCACGTGATTTGTGGCGATGTTTAAAGGGCCTTCGGTCTTACAGCCCTCCTTTGTGCACTGCTTCTGGTCAGACTTCTTAATTTTAGTTAGTTAGTTAGTTAGTTAGTTAGTTAATTAGTTAGGTTATACTTCTTAATATGTTTCAGTGTTCATGCCCCTCATTTCTGCTTACCGTACAGGCCTACAGCAACTGATCCGATAGTTCTTAAGGGGCCTGGAAGTTTCCCTGCAGTATTTCGAAACATGAAAACTGGCGTTGTGCTGTCACGAGAAGAGAGCTCCAGCTGAAAAATAGAGGGAGTTGTTGTGTCACACAAGGCAGGTAAATGGCAAGGATAATTTTGAAAGGAAAAAAAACCTATTGAGCACCATAAAGGTAAAAGGTAAAGGGACCCCTGACCATTAGGTCCAGTCGTGGACGACTCTGGGGTTGCGGCACTCATCTCGCTTTATTGGTCGAGGGAGCCGGCGTACAGCTTCCGGGTCATGTGGCCAGCATGACTAAGCCGCTTCTGGCAAACCAGCGCAGCGCACGGAAACGCCGTTTACCTTCTCGCCAGAGCAGTACCTATTTATCTACTTGCGCTTGACGTGCTTTTGAACTGCTAGGTTGGCAGGAGCAGGGACCGAGCAACAGGAGCTCACCCCATCACGGGGATTCGAACCGCCAACCTTCTGATCGGCAAGTCCTAGGTTCTGTGGTTTAACCCACAGCGCCACCCGCATCCCTCTTGAGCACCCTATGATGGAGAAATTCAGAGCCGTTTACCATTCTGGTCCTACAAGGAAATAGCTTAAAAGTTCTAGACTATTTTTGAAGACGCCATTAGGCCTAAAGGCCTTGCTAGGATCTTGCTTAGGTTGGCAAATGCTTTCAACACCACACTGATGTTATTGGCGTGCATCAGGGGGACTTGGCTCCTGTGGCGCTCGGCTTCCCTTCATGAACAGAGCACATTCAAGAGTGTCTAATGCCTTTGCAAAACCTTCACACTTTATTCAGCCTCCCAGGTCACCGCTTCTGCCTCTGGTAAGTCACGTGAAGTGGGGGAAGAGTTTGATTTGCGATACACAGGCTGCATTGGGACCTAATGCGCCATTGCAATCTCCTTGTCTCATATGTGGAAGCCAGGATGCCTGAGGCTCAGACCCAGAGGCTCAGGGGGTGTGACCTCAGAGCTCAAATGTGATGCCTTTCGGAGCAAGTCTAGCAGCTCACAGCAATTACAAGAATATATATATATATATATATATATATATATATATATATATATATATTTGCTTTCGTAGATTTTCACGGGTACAGGAATGCAGGTTTTGGTGTCCTCGGGTGTCTTCCCGTGTAAAAGTTGGGGTGTCTAGGCGACGTTTCGACGAGGTCTCACTCGTCATCTTCAGGCTGGTGCTTTCGGCTTCTTGTTACTGGAACAGAGCTCTGTTCCAGTAACAAGAAGCCGAAAGCACCAGCCTGAAGATGACGAGTGAGACCTCGTCGAAACGTCGCCTAGACACCCCAACTTTTACACGGGAAGACACCCAAGGACACCAAAACCTGCATATATATATATATATATACACACACACACACACAGAGTGAGGGGGGAAAGTATTTTGATCCCCTGCTAAGTTTGCCCGTTTGCCCTCTGACGAAGAAATGACCAGTCCATAATTTGAATGGTAGGTTTAATTGTAGCTGTGAGAGACCGAACAACAACAGCTACACATCAGCCTCGAAATCTTACTGACTTGGAGAGGATCTGCAAAGAGGAGTGGGACAAAATGCCTCCTGAGATGTGTGCAAACCTGGTGGCCACCTACAAGAAACGTCTGACCTCTGTAATTGCCAACAATTACATCTTTTGCAAAGGGATCAAATACTTATTTCACTCATTATAATGCACATCAATCTCTGACTTTTGTCTTCTGGGTTTCTGGGGGTTTTCCTGTTGTTATTCTGTCTCTCACAGCTACAATAAACCTACCATTAAAATTATGGACTGGTCATTTCTTCATCAGAGGGCAAACGGGCAAATTTAGCAGGGGATCAAATACTTTTTTACACACACACACACACACACACACACACACATTGCTCATACATTGCATGCATAGCTTTAGGTTTGGTCTACGTAAACAAGATCTCGGTTAACAGGACTGGGAAAGGCAGTTCTAGGCTGGATGAAACAGTAATCTGACAAAGTAAATGTCAAAAGTTTGATCCAAGTACATTGATCCATGTAGCTTAGAATCGTCGAGTTTGAAGGGACCATGGGGGAGGGGTCATCAAGACCAATCCCAGTGTTATGTACTGAAGTTCTCACCCTGGGCCAGCAGGGGGATACTGTAGATAGTTATGCAAATGAAGGATCGAAAGTGACGTTCAGATAGTTTTAGAAAGTTGCAACAGTTACATTGTTCTGGAGCTCTATATAAGCAGGCTGACTGAGCTCCTCAGTTCAGTTCTGTTCCAGCTTACAAATAAAGAGCTGCTTTGGAAGAATCGCTGTGTCGTCTGATATGTTCGCCCACAACTTAACACCCAGCACATCATGTTTTTCTAACTATGCTCTAGTGCATGTTCATTACCCGCTTTCCTGTGTGTTTACAAAAACAGTAGATTCAGATGCTCAAAATAAATGTGCAGTTTGAATTTTAGAAGAGAAGCCCCCTAACCCTGCTTTCTGCCCAGGGCTACTGGCTTTCTCCATGAAGAAAAAGCAAACTAAAAAATATAACTTTGGGTCATACTGTTTCAGGTCAGACTTTGGAAACTTTCTGCTTTCACTTCACACTCAGACCTAAAGATTTCTAGAAAAGTCTCTCTCTTTTTTAGAACAATGACAGACCCATGGCTGGATTTGCTAGATGTCCAAAGCAGAATCAATTTACTTGGACCTTCAAACAAGCTAACTGGCTACATTTTTAGAGTAAGAGTTGTGCCTTGTTTGGCCACAGTGCTCTCCCTTTAAGACCTCTCCCATGGTGGGTTATCCTACAGCCTCCTGTGTTTTGTGAAATTGTAAAATAATAATAATAATAATAAATCTCTCATTTCACTGCTCAGCTAAAGGCCAAAAGGCACTAACCTCTTTAGCGATCAGGCGACCGTCCACCTCGCCATAGAAGTCTTTTATATTTTTGATTGTGGTATAAGATGAGTTCATGGCGTTGATTCCAAAAGAAATCTTCTCCTGTGCTACCAAGGCTGAAGTCAGTACACTGCTACAAGAGCTTGCGCCTAAGGAGAACGCAAGGAGATGGCCTACTCTCAGTGTGAGGCAAAGCAATCATTTAGGTGAGAAAGGACCAATTCCCTCCAGCATTAGTTATTAGAGGATATCCCACCCCATCCTTCCCCATTCATATACAATATAGCTCTTTCAATACCAGATTTGCACAAAACCAGAAAAATGCATGAGCAAATTTGTAATTGTCTGACTGCGCGCCCCCCCCCCCCAAGGGAGGACAGGGAAGGCAAGGAATTGAACCCTGGGTCTTGGTGGTAGGTCAATGGGGAAGAGGCTGGAAAAGCGACGAGCTGGGAGGTGCTAGAGCTTTGGGCTATTCTTCAGAGAAGCTGAGTGCAGCTGGTTTAAACTGGTTCTCTTATCTCTGTCAAGGTCATGCTGACTATAATAGTAAGGCCAGAAAGAGCCTGGGTTTCATTTTCTCTTTCTATCTCTCTTCCTTCTGGTGTGGTGTTCTGTACAGTGGATCCTTGGTCCTCAAACTTAATCCGTTCCGGAAGTCGATTCCAAAACCAAAGCGTTCCAAAACCAAGGTGTGCTTTCCCATAGAAAGTAATGCAAAATGGATTAATCCGTTCCAGACTTTTAAAAAAACAACCCCTAATTATTATTTTTTTATAAATCATTTTTATTAACCGACCAATCAAATCAAATCACATCACATAAATTCCGAATTACAAAGCCGAATTTTAAATTTTTGTTGGGGGTACCCATATTTCAAGTTCCGAAACAACCCCTAATTTAACATGAATTTTACTATCCAACCAGACCATTGATCCATAAAATGAAAGCAATAAACAATGTACTGCAGTCACACAATCATTCAATTAATGATTAATGTGGAACTGGGTTCCACACAGTCAAAAAAAAAAAAGAGAGAGCCGCAAAAACAAAAGCACAAAATAAATAGACAGACCTCAGCGTAACACTCAAATCGGAAGTGTGACACTCAAATCGGAAGCGTAATACTCAAAATGGAGCACATTCGGCTCCAAAAAAAGTTCACAAACCGGAACACTTACTTCCAGATTTGCAGTGTTTGAGTTCCAAGTTGTTTGAGTACCAAGGCATTTGAGAACCAAGGTACCACTGTATATAGTGTTAATGTTTAGTCTTATTATAAGTTATTGTACATTTAAGATAAGTCTGCTGCAACTGGATTTCTTATGGACAGTTCCAATCCTGAATATATTGGATTTGTGACCAATTCTCATTTGCCTTCAGTGGCAGTAAAGCTCCGCTGAATGAAATACAATTGCCTTTGGTCTATTTTCTGGGAATCCTGCAACGTCTTTAAGTTTTTACTCTGCTAACTAAATGTCGGAGTTCCACTCTGGATCAATATTGAGTAGAATTTCACGACACAGAAGAAGGCAGCCCCACCATTCGGCAGCAGGACAGAATCAGTCCTGCTGGTTCTCTTCCTCTCACACCCTGCTCCAGGAGAGCCCTACATGTTGCCAAGCAATGGACCAGGCAGGGCCAGAGGGGGTGCTCAAACCCCATGTCCAGTCCGTGTCTGTTGGGGAGGGCTCCAGAGTGAGAGGCTAGAGGGGAAACGTCTCAAGCTGAAGGAGTTGAGTCAGGGAGACCTCGCTATGTTACTTTCAGTGAGTAAAAGTCAATTGTAATTGTGACTACATTATTACATGAGCACTGTTCCACAGCATTTGATATTTTCATTTACATACATTCATTCGAAATAAAGATATACTCCCACCATGCTGACGAAGAATTCTACGAAACAGTAGTCAATATCCAGAATCACTGTTCAGCGCTGGACATCATATTTGCTGAATACACAAAGCTTCACAGCTTGTCTTTCATCGTACAAAGTTTGGTAAAGGTAAAGGGACCCCTGACCATTTCTGTCCAGTCATGGCCAACTCTGGGGTTGCGGCGCTCATCTCGCTTTACTGGCCGAGGGAGCCAGCGTACATGTGGCCAGCATGACTAAGCCGCTTCTGGCGAACCAGAGCAGCACACAGAAACGCCATTTACCTATTTATCTACTTGCACTTTGACGTGCTTTCAAACTGCTAGGTTGGCAGGAGCAGGGACTGAACAACAGGAGCTCACCCCATCGCGGGAATTCGAACCACCAACGTTCTGATCGGCAAGTCCTAGTCTCTGCGGTTTAACTCACAGCACCACCCGCGTCCCACAAAGTTTGGTACCTCGCTTCATTTAAAGATTTTCAGAGACTAAAGATTTCATTTTGTACTTGTTATGGTTTGAAGGAATTCTATAAAGATTGTCTATTGCGTATTTATATGGTCATCGTGTTGCCTAGACATTGCTGACAGGGCAAGGAATAGCATATACAGAGGGCAGGCACTCAGCCAAATGGAGCTCTCTTTCTCTTCTGACGGAAACCTTTAAAACAGTGGCGAAAAGTAGCTGCGGGAAAGGCACTTCCAAAATAGAGAGGAGGTGGGGTTGCGGGCCCACGCCCTCCCCACGCACATGGGGGCTGGCTCACAGCCCCCACGAGAATGAGGGAATCCTCGGGCGCGTCATCTCCCTGCTTAGCCAATCTGCTGGTCGGGGGGTGGCAGATCCGGTTTCCCACCCCGCCCGCCCTTTAGTTCAACACTCTGACCTTGCTATGGACTCTGGTTGGTCGCCGTCAAGGAGCCTGGTAGGAATTTTTTCCACTTGGCAAATTGGCACCGGCCATTTGGTTTTTCGCCTACCTCGTAGCAAATTGTCACAACTTCTTGGCATTGGAGGTTAGGCATTGGTAGGGGTATTGTTATGCAGATGTGGGGGGGAAGGAAGCGCCATCACCTGCCCCACATATTGAAGGGTAGTCCAATAAAGCAGTGTTCCCCAACCTTGGGCCTCCAGCTGTTTTTGGACTACAACTCCCATCATCCCTCGCTAGCAAGACCAGTGGTCAAGGATGATGGGAATTGTAGTCCAAAAACAGCTGGAGGCCCAAGGTTGGGGAACACTGCAATAAAGGATTCTGGGGGCGTTGCCCTGTCCGAAGCCTATGGAGGTGTGGGCCTAAGGCATGCCCCCGAGCGATGACCCCGGGGGAGTGCCTAGTTGATGTACATTAGCAGGACTCCCCCTACTGGTGGTTAACCCTTACCGGTCATCACGCAATCGGGCTGAAGCCGGTTAGCTGATAGGACCAATGCCTAAGCCAATACCGCTCAATTCCTGCAATCAATAAAGTTGTGGCCATTTTTCACCCATTAACCTTAAATACAGTGTCCTGTGTCTTTATTTCGCAAGGGGGGAGGGGGACTTGCCATGCAACACCTTTTACCTTTAAACCCCACCGCTTGGAAGTTGCTACAGTATCTCGGACCAAGGTTGGCAATAAGCTGCAGAGTTCCCACGGAGAGAGCTTCTTCAAACAAATACATCGGGCCCTGGCACCAAGTCAAGGAGCTCTTCTGTTTCCAAATCCGTGGGGTAGCCACATAACCATAGACGTCGATAAAGGAAGATGGGTCCATGGAGACAAAGTTGCCTGGGAGAGGCTGGATGTATTGCATCTGCAACAGGGGAAAAAAGGAACTGCTGAACGGCTATGCTACCTTTGGGTAGCTCAGTCAGCTCCCCCTGGAACTCAGGTCTAGGCTAGGCTAGGCTAGAAGCCTTCTCTCCAATATACGATATACGGTATCTTTATTGTCATTGTCCCATGCAGAACAATGAAATTGAAAAACTACATAAAACTACATAAAAACTACATAAAACTACTACAAAACTACATAAAACATTCAAAAACCCCTAAAAACCCATTTTAAAATACACTATACTATAGAGACCCCTTATGCTGCGTTTAGAACCAGAATTGCATTTACGTAGAAACTGTTTCTCAGGCGGCTAGTCCTGGCCTTTATAACCCTATACCTTCTTCCAGAAGGCAGAAGCTGAAAGAGATCATTTCCGGGGTGCGTACTATCCTGCACTATCTCTTCCGCTTTCTTATGGCACCTGGAAGCATAGATTTGATCTAAGGTGGGAAGAGTGCACCCAATTATTCTCTCTGCAGTCTTTACAACCCTGGATAGCATTGTTTTTTCCCTGGCTGTGCAGCTCCCAAACCACACACACAGACCATAAGTTAATACGCTCTCCACAGTGCAATGGTAAAATGCCATCAATATCTATTTTTCTAGGATTGTCCTTTTATAGGAGCATTCAGTTTTGTGAGTGCCCACCCTGCCAACACTGGCTATGAGCAGCCAGGAGGAGCCAAGGTGGGAGCCAATGGCCATGTCCAAAGAGCAAGTTCTAGCCAAAGGATGGAGGAGCCAGTCAGAAAGCAGGACTGAGGGACAACCTCCTATATTGCCCCCCTGATTGGAACACATGGCAATCTGTGGGGGAAGAGAGATCTAAATTGCCCTTTGCTCCAATCGAGCAGTTTTCCCGGGAAGAAATCAGTGGGGCGAGAGGCAGCGTGGATAAGCCCAGCGCCAATCTCACCTGAGCACAAAGTGATTACCTTTGCAGAGCCAACTCTCTGCCCGTTGACATAGGCTGAAATGGTGCAGGTCTGTTTCGTTTCCTTAGCCACAGTCACCGCCAGATGATGCCACTGCCTGGTCACTAGCAGCTTGGCACACCTGAACTGGACTTGAGATAAGGCAGAGGACCGCCCAAGGTCTCCAAATTCAGGTTCCATCATGTCTGCAATGGCAGAAGCTAGCAAGTCATTCACAACAAATACAAGTGTGTAACATTCCAACTAAAATACTAGATGCCATGAAAGGACTTGATTCCTATTTATTGTCAGTGGATATTAGGATTCCTAATGACAAACCTAGACAGCATCTTAAAAAGCAGAGACATCACCTTGCCAACAAAGGTCCGTATAGTTAAAGCTATCGTTTTCCCAGTAGTGATGTATGGAAGTGAGAGCTGGACCATAAAGAAGGCTGTTCGCCGAAGAATTGATGCTTTTGAATTATGGTGCTGGAGGAGACTCTTGAGAGTCCCATGGACTGCAAGAAGATCAAACCTACCCATTCTTAGGAAAATCAGCCCTGAGAGCTCACTGGAAGGACAGATCCTGAAGCTGAGGCTCCAATACTTTGGCCACCTCATGAGAAGAGAAGACTCCCTGGAAAAGACCCTGATGTTGGGAAAGATTGAGGGCACAAGGAGAAGGGGACGACAGAGGACAAGATGGTTGGACAGTGTTCTCAAAGCTACCAGCCTGAGTTTGACCAAACTGTGGGAGGCAGTGGAAGACAGGAGAGCCTGGCATGCTCTGGTCCATTGGGTCACGAAGAGTTGGACACGACTAAACAACAACAACATTAGGATTCCTCAGTGACTGCAAATACATCTCTCCTCTGGGTAAGAACCCTGGAGAAATATATCTTGACTAGGAGGGGTTGGGGAATCTTAAGACTATCCATGCAGCTGCCGGCAACATTTGTGCAATGACATTCCACGCAGCACTCACAATCGTGGCAGAAGACCCAATGTTAAAACGTTGCAGTTTGAGTGTTAGCAAATGTGATGTCCCTAAATCAGAGCTGTTTCAAGTCTAGAAAAATGTCTGCCCCCCCCCCACCGGACAAATAAGCACCCGTTGCTTATTTATTGTGTGAAAGTATGTGGCAAGACCCTCAGAAGGAAACGGTGACTGTTAAGTACAGAATCTGTACATTGGCTCAGCTTTACGCAGAAATTGGATTTAGCATGGCGTCAGCAAGCAAGGGGACAAGCAAAAGTTTGACTCTTATTCCCGCAGAAGGCAAGGCCAGCAAATTGTTTGTCCCCTACAGTGCCAGGTGGAGAACCACCCCTGTTTCAGGACATTATAAATCCAAGATTTCTGCAGGAAAGAACCTCAAGAAGGAAGGTTTTCTTAGGGTTGATACCACAACTGGGAACAAGAAGCAGCAGAAATTAACAGATGTACAAAGAAGTAGATTAGAAGGGAATTTCAAAGTAGCACTAATTAGGAGGGGAGCCAAGCAGATTCCTTAATGTTTCTTTTCCAAACAGGGTTGCGAACCGTTCTGTAGATGGGTGGACCTCGTTCCTTCTTGCTTAATGGTGTAATGAAGGGGGGAAGTGCGGGGAGCTAAATGCAGTATTTAAAAAGAAGAAAAGAAGAAAATGTTGGCTTTGGCCCTGGACTTGAAAGTTGGGAGCCACAAAGAGACCCTACTCTCTGGTCAGTAATGCATCTGGAAATTGGGAGATTCTCCTTGCCAGAAAAGGCACCTCATGCTGGCTTTGCCTTTGGTTATATGCTCTCTTACAATTTAGAATATTCATTCCCTTCTTCTCTTTCCAAGATTCATTTTGCACAACATAAGTCCTTGCATATGATACATAAACTAAACCATTCGGTATTCCATTATTACATCCATCAAAACTTATTTACACTGTTGAATTTATCTTAATGCTGCCCATATTTCCAAGTGTACACAATTCCCCGCCCCAGTATATTCAATAAGCATTTTCTAAACTTCTTTAAACGTATGTTCTTCTTGTCCTCTTATTCTATATGTTAAGGCTGCAAGCTGCGCATATTCTTTCAGCTTATGTTGCCATTCTTCTTTATAATAATAAAATAATAATAATTTATTATTTATACCCCGCCCATCTGGCTGGGCTTCCCCAGCCACTCTGGGCGGCTTCCAAAAAAGTATTAAAATACTGTGATACATCAAACATTAAAAGCTTGCCTAAACAGGGCTGCCTTCCGATGTCTTCTAAAAGTTTGGTAGTTGTTGTTCTGTTTGACATCTGGTGGGAGGGCGTTCCACAGAGCGGGTGCCACTACTGAGAAGGCCCTCTGCCTGGTTCCCTGTAACTTGGCTTCTCGCAATGAGGGAACTGCCAGAAGGCCCTCGGTGCTGGATCTCAGTGTCTGGGCTGAACAATGGGGGTGGAGACGCTCCTTCAGATATACTGGACCGAGGCCGTTTAGGGCTTTAAAGGTCAGCACCAACACTTTGAATTGTGCTCAGAAACGTACAATTTGGGACCTCGCTCATTTTCCATTTTGGGGCTAACGAAACACAGGCCGCAGTAGGAGCATACATAAATAACCATTTTTGACACCTGGGAATTTCCATCTGAATTATCCCCAACAAAAAGGACTCTGGGTGTTGTTGTTTTTTGAAAAGTACTTTTAAACATTTTCTTCAATTCATTGTGGATTATTTCCCAATACAGTGGTGCCTCGCAAGACGAAAAGAATCCGTTCCGCGATTCTCTTCGTCTAGCGGTTTTTTCGTCTTGCGAAGCAACCCTATTAGCGGCTAAGCGGATTAGCGCTATTAGCGCCTTAGTGGCTATTAAAGGCTTAGCTGCTAAAAGGCTATTAGCGGCTTAGAAAAAGGGGGGGAAGCGGGGTGAAAATCGCAAGACTAGCAAGACGTTTCGTCTTGCGAAGCAAGCCCATAGGGAAAATCGTCTTGCGAAGCAACTCAAAAATGGAAAACCCTTTCGTCTAGCGGGTTTTCCGTCTTGCGAGGCATTCGTCTTGCGGGGCACCACTGTACTCTTTTCCCCTTTTACAGGTCCACCACCTAGGAAAGAATGTTCCCTCAACCTCTTTGCATCTCCAGCACTTATCTGATTCTGTCTTATATATCTTAGCAAGCTTTTTTCTTTTGCATTTTCACCAAGGCCACTCATGGGCCCTGGCCCTCACCCTACACAGGCTTTACCTAGGGCCTGGAATGCCACTTCCTCAGTGGAGATGGTCAGGCAGCCATCCATGGGAGAAAAGCTCACAGCAAAGCAGACAAATTCTTCTTCTGTCCTTGCCATGTGACGCACCAGCGTGAGGAACCGGAGAGGGTGGCCGCTGTGAACAGAGCCCATCTTGCTGACCAGGAACCAGGAGGAGAAAGTCAGGCCATCCAATGGGGGGAACGGCCTGGGGCCTAGAGAACCAGAAAGGAAGGTTGCAAGTCAAGTACAACCGATAGCGATGCGCCTGGACTGTCCTGGTTGCAGGTAGTGCAAAGTTATCCTGAGGCACAAGGAAATGTGTCTGCCTCCAGGAGCTTTAATGTCAGGGGAGCACTGTTAGAATTCCTGCTCCGTGATTGCAGTCATGCGTTTTTTTTCTATCACATGACGGTATATGTTTTGACTCCACAAAGTGGGAGGTGACAGAGACAGGATATTTGTGTTACTGTGTTCCGTGAAGTGGGACTATTGTCCTTTATTCTTTCTCTCTTTGCTGTCTAGAGAGAGAGGGAGCCATGTTGCAGTGCTCCGTGTGTGTTTATATGTAAATGAAGTAGATTAGCCAAAATGCTGAGTTGCTGAGGCCTGTCACGCATGATGCGCAAACTCTGCGGATCCCTAAGTGTAGTGATCAGGTGCGATCGCTATGAGGAATCATAACAAATATACAGTAAGCCATCTGTGTCAGCAATGAAAGCATTGTGTTGACCGAGTTTAAACTATTTTGATATGATTTTTGATCAATCTACACCTCTGCATCCCTGTTCCGTTTCTCTTTCTTGACCAGTCATGTACACTGCCAGTTGCTTCGTCAGGCAGGCATCCTGGGTCATCAAAGACAGTGGGCAAGCTTCTTTGATGTAGGTTTTCTGATATGTTAATCTTAGGATGTTAATCTTAGGGCCAGGAAACAGATCTCACCTGAAGGTGATAATGATCACTGTCTTCCTGGCCATACTTCTTATCATGTATATTGCTTGTTTATCACCTCCAGGGGTTGCCAGATGCACTCCTTTGTAGTTCTGTTTTGTTTACCCCAGAAATACGTGTGCTTAATTAGTTTTGGTAGTTTAACTTTGTCCCCACGTGGGGTTTGTTGAAATGCTCAGAAGACATCTGATTGGTTCTTTCGAACACTCTGTAAAAAGTTCTTTTGTGAATAAAATGACCTGGGCCAGGGGTGGAGGGAGAGATTATTATACGCACCCTTCCCAGAGTCTTGCTGGTTCAAGCCTCTATGTGTATTCTTTTTAATCAGAGTTCAATCCTTCCTTTACTTTGAGAACGCCTCACCTAAGTGTGCCGGTGTCGGTTGGCATTGGTCGCTGTGATGTTCGGGCTGAAGAAAGCTTTTGAAGCTCCCGAACGAACGACCAGGAGGGAGAGAACATGCCAGTCAGGCATGTGTCTCTCCCAGGGTCCTACTCAAGTGTAGGCTGAGCTCCTGACAAGCACAACCTCAGTTTCCACACAGAAGAAGTGGAGAACCTGAATGGAGGGCACTGAACAGGTTTATTATCTTAGCTGGGGGAGGAGTGCTCCCTAAAATATCAACCTGTGAAGCATGCCTTCCCATCCCTGTCCCTGTGGGATGACTTCAATGTCTACCCGACCTCCCCTGAATTATTTGAATTAATGTACAGTCAGAATGCAAGTTGGTAAGTAGGGGCCTTATGCTTCAACACCTGTAAAGTGTAGGGGATGGGTCATAGCTCAGTGGCAGAGCATAAGGTACCAGCTTCCATCCCTGGCAACTTGAGGAAGGGCTGGGAAGCATGTCTGCCTGCAACCCTGGAGAGCCATCTAGTCAGTGTCAACAATACTGAACTGAATGGTCTGGCATTGAACAAGGCAGCTCCTTTATACTTCCAATTGAAGGGGACTATAAAGGGACGTGGGTGGCGCTGTGGTCTAAACCACAGAGGTTAGGGCTTGCCGATCAGAAGGTCAGCGGTTCTAATCCCTGCGCTGGGGTGAGCTCCCGTTGCTCGGTCCCAGCTCCTGCCAACCTAGCAGTTCGAAAGCACCTCCGAGTGCAAGTAGATAAATAGGTACCGCTCTGGTGGGAAGGTAAACGGCATTTCCGTGTGCTGCTCTGGTTCGCCAGAAGCGGGTTAGTCATGCTGGCCACATGACCCAGAAGCTGTCCGCAGACAAACACCAGCTCCCTCAGCCTATAGAGCGAGTTGAGCGCTACAACCCCAGAGTTGCCCATGACTGAACCTAATGATCAGGGGTACCTTCACCTTTACCTATCCAGCCGATAAAAATGTAAAGGACCCCTGGGTGGTTAAGTCCAGTCAAAGGCGACTATGGGGTTGCGGTGCTCATCTCGTGTTCAGGCCGAGGGAGCTGGCATTTGTCCACAGACAGCTTCCCAGGTCATGTGGCCAGCATGACTGAACCGCTTCTGGCGCAACAGGACACTGTGATGTAAGCCAGAGTGCACGGAAATGCCGTTTACCTCCCCACCATAGCAGTACCTATCTATCTACTTGCACTGGTGTGCTTTCGAACTGCTAAGTTGGCAGGAGCTGGGGCAGAACAACAGGAGCTCATCTCGTTGTGGGGATTCAAACCGCCGACCTTCTGATCAGCAAGCCCAAGAGGCTCAGTGGTTTAGACCACAGCGCCACCCGTTTCCCTGTGCCAGCTGATAGCTGGCCAGGGAACAGAAGGTTCTGCTCTTCCTTTGCTTCCTGCTCCTCCCCAGTCAGCTCCCTCCCCACATTCAAATGGTTGAAGGGTGTAGATCATGTGGGTAGTTTTAAGTCCTTCTCACAGTTTGCACCAGACTTTATGTTCACCTGGAAATATTTACCTTTCCCAGTTCCTCCCAAGATGGAGGATTCAGCGTTGGGGCCCAGAACAGTAGACAATGCTGGAAGAAACAGACAACTGGAAAAGCACAGAAAGACAAGACAATATTGGTATCTTGATAGATCGATAGCAATCAAAAGACTACTTGAATACATCTCTCGCAATCAGCTTTGCGCCTGCTCTAGACTCCCCCCTACCTAATCCTTATTATTCCTCATTCATTCATTTATTTTACTTTCAATATTTTATATGCCACCTTTCAGTGCAAAGCCCTCCCAAGGCCACTCAAGTTAACGTTTAAACTATACAACGCATTGAAACAATCTCCTTATAAATACAAAAGCACTTAACAGCCGGCACAGCAGTTAAAATAAAACCAATGAAAATGAAAAGAAACAGTAGCAGTTTAAATATCCAGCACAGCACCTCCATTAAAAGCAGACTGAAACAAAAATATTTGGAGGCTCGTGTAATGTTAATGAAGATGGGATTTAAACCTATATCCAACAGGAAGGAGTTCCACAGATACAGGGCCAAGGCTGGATAGGCTCCATCTCTTACTGCCTAGTAACGATATTTTCTGATGGATTTCACCATTCGTGAAAAGAAACTGCTCTCTAGAATGGGGAAAAGGTGAGGAAAATATGGGGACGAGGTTTTCATGCTTACCTCCTGGGCTACCTGCTTACTGAAAATCTTTGGGAAGACCTCAAAGCATAGGCAACCACTATCACCAATAGTGGTAGCACCACCACCATCATGTGTCTACAAATTAGCCTCCTTTCTGCTCTTCTGGATGAAAATTTCCAGGCAAACTCAAAAGGCTGCCTAATCCTACATCAACAGAAGTTGCTGATCTTGGTTCAGGGGGTACACGTACTGGATGGGTTCTCAAGTACATATGCAAGCCCTGGGTGTGAAAGGATTTCCCCATTCATCTCAATGGCAGGGGCACTCTCACGGCCATCTCCCATCACAAGCTTCAAAGCTATAAATCAGGGGTAGACAACCTAAGGCCCAGGGGCCAGATGAGGCCCAATCGCCTTCTAAATCCAGCCCGCGGATGGTCCGGGAATCAGCATGTTTTTACATGAGTAGAATGTGTGCTTTTATTTAAAATGCATCTCTGGGTTATTTGTGGGGCATAGGAATTTGTTCATTTTTTCCCCTCCAAAATATAGTCCAGCCCCCCATAAGGTCTGAGGGACAGTGGACTGGCCCATGGCTGAAAAAGGTTGCTGACCCCTGCTATAAATCATCACAGGGTAGAATCGAGAAACCCTTAGCATGGAATTGCCGTGCATTTGACCCATGACCTGTTTTGTTCTCATAAATGGGCAATTTGTCTGCAAGCTGGCAAAGTGACAGGAATACGAAAGAAGAAGAGAAGAAGAGTTTGGATTTGATATCCCGCCTTTCACTCCCTTTAAGGAGTCTCAAAGCGGCTAACAATCTCCTTTTCCCTTCCTGCCCCACAACAAACATTCTGTGAGGTGAGTGAGGCTGAGAGACTTCAGAGAAGTGTGACTAGCCCAAGGTCACCCAGCAGCTGCATGTGGAGGAGCAGGGAAGCGAACCCGGTTCACCAGATTACGAGTCCAATGTGAAATGTGACACCACAATGAAACTGTGTGCCATTCTTGCAAATGGAACACAAAATATACAGGGCCAAAGGCAGAGGGTGTTAGTGCCAAGCTAGAGAGGCACAAGCAAATGCGGTACCCGTATCCTTCCAGGGACATGTCAAATTCCACAAATGAAGGTGCCAGGCAGGCATGATGGGAATCCAGGCTGCGTGGCGTCGTCATGGAGACCAGGCTCATGGCTGCCTGGAGAGCTACGGCAGAGCTGTTGGATACCCAGGATGCGTCTGAGCCCAGGGAAGCCCGATGAAGATCTGCGGAACTTTTCGCTGTAGTGACTACGGAACCTATAACGGCAAACGCATAGTGTCATGCAATCTGTTATGGATCTTGGGTTCTGCCTTCAAGGAAGAACTTCTGAGAGGTGCAACTGGAGGAAGAAGAAATGTAGCTATAGGAACACAGCAAAGCATTCCACAACTGGGAGTTAGGACTGTGATCTGAGGGCTGATCTGTACAACAAGTGCTATTTTTCTAGAAAAAGTGGTGCCATGAACTTCTCCCTTGTTCTCCTAGAAGGTAAAAAGGGGTTGAGGCATTCATCTCGCTTTCAGGCCGAGGGAGCCAGCGTTTGTCCACAGACAGCTTTCCGAGTCATGTGGCCAGCATGACTAAAGCACTTCTGGTGCAACAGAACACTGTGACAAGTACCAGAGCACACAAAAATGCTGTTTACTTTCTCGCCACAGTGGTACCTATTTATCTACTTGCACTGGCATGCTTTCAAACTGCGAGGTTGGCAGGAGCTGGGACAGAGCAACGGGAGCTCGCCAGCAAGCCCAAGAGGCTTGGTGGTTTAGACCACAGCGCCACCCGCTCCCTATGGCAAAACAGTTGATTTTCAATCTAGTTTGCTTGAAAATAAAATACAGTAACGTTATCTAATACAGATGTGGCTACACATTGGCTAATTGCTATTGCAGTTTTGAAAAACGGCACGCTCCTATTTTCATCGGAGAAATGTCGGAGGGTATGATATAGGCTCTGTTACATTAGGCAGGGCATAAGAAAGTAAGAAAAGCCCTGTAGGATCAGATCAAAAGCAAATCTATTCCAGCAACGTGAAGCCTGTTAGAATTTCTGCTCCATGATTGCAGTCATGGGATTTTTGTCTATCGCATGACGGTGTATGTTTTGACTCCACAGAGTGGGAAGTGACAGAGACAGGATGTTTGTGTTACTGTGTTCAGTGAAGTGGGACTGTTGTCCTTTGTTCTTTCTCTCTTTGCTGTCTGATGCTGGAGAGAGGGAGCCATGTTGCAGTGCTCCGTGTGTGTTTATATGTAAATAAAGTAGATTAGCCAAAATGCTGAGTTGCTGAGATCTGTCATGCATGATGCACAAACTCTGCGGATCCCTAAGTGTGCCGATGTCTTTTGGCGTTGGTCGCTGTGATGTTTGGGCAGAAGAAAGCTAATGAAGCTCCTGAACGATCGACCAGGAGGGAGGGAACATGCCAGTCGGGCATGTCTCTCTACCAGGGTCTTACTCGAGAGTAGGTTGAGCTCCTGCAAAGCCTACCCTTTCTTCAGGGCAGCTACGCCTATGAACTGTTGCCGTCATCCATGGAAAAACCACAATTACTGCCAAAGAACTTTCAGGAAGCCAGATAGCTCCCACCCAAGAATGCCAGACAGGAGCTTTGCAGAACTTCTGCTCCTTGGCCAGGCCTCACCTTCATTCCCAGATGCATGACATGAGGCACTTCTGTCACAGGGAGAAGTTGAGGATGGACTTACACCAGGCCCTGGTGCTACAGGCAGCCATGTTGTCCTGAGGCAAAGGAACTGTCTGAAAAAGGCAAGTCAAAGAAAGTAAGATTTTGCTCACATGGCCAAGCAAAGGCTACAGGAACCTTTGTGTGAGGCAGCCTAACCCAGTAAAAAAATAGCAGCTGCCAACATCTGCCTGCTTCCACTCTTCCAGAGGGAGCCCAGTCTTTACTGGAAGAAAGGAGGGGCAGTCAGGTGGGGATGATAGTTGCTGCTCTTCCTCAGTGACAGATGGTCAGAGGGCAAAAAACAGTTATCAAAACATGCCAATTCACTTGTACGCCATGCTTCCATTTCACTAAATAAAGGTAAAGGTAAAGGGACCCCTGACCATTAGGTGCAGTCATGACCGACTCTGGGGTTATGGCGCTCATCTTGCTTTATTGGCCGAGGGAGCCGGCGTACAACTTCCGGGTCATGTGGGCAGCATGACAAAGCCGCTTCTGGCGAACCAGAGCAGCGCACAGAAACGCCGTTTACCTTCCCGCCAGAGCGTTACCTATTTATCTACTTGCACTTTGACGTGCTTTGGAACTGCTAGGTTGGCAGGAGCAGGGACCGAGCAACGGGAGCTCACCCCGTCACGGGGATTCGAACGCTGACCTTCTGATCGGCAAGCCCTAGGCTCTATTTCACTAAATAAATTAATTTAAATACTGTATAGCATAGTCTTCAGCCTGTCAATTTTAGTGAGAAATGCATTCAGTTCGGCTAATCCTTATCTGAAATCTAAGCATGCTACTAAGTAAGGCATGCACCAGTAATATATATATATATATATATATATATATATATATATATATATATGCTTTCGTAGATTTTCACGGGTACAGGAATGCAGGTTTTGGTGTCCTCGGGTGTCTTCCCGTGTAAAAGTTGGGGTGTCTAGGCGACGTTTCGACGAGGTCTCACTCGTCATCTTCAGGCTGGTGCTTTCGGCTCTGTTCCAGTAACAAGAAGCCGAAAGCACCAGCCTGAAGATGACGAGTGAGACCTCGTCGAAACGTCGCCTAGACACCCCAACTTTTACACGGGAAGACACCCGAGGACACCAAAACCTGCATATATATATATATATATATATATGCATATTTTAGCTGTGTATATACTTGGAAGCTTCATTTTATATCTATAATACAGATAAGTATGCTTATCCATTGGGACTGATCCTAAACTGGTAGCCGAAGCCAACAGTGCTGGAAAAATTAAGCATGTTTCAGATTATTATAACAGGCTTCTTTAGTTTTTGTTCGGTTGGTTTTTGTACTTTAAAGTGCAAATATTGATTTGTTTCATAAATGCAGATTAATCAAATACAGCATGAAAGTACGCCAAATAACTTGCATTAGCACAAATTGAGAAATGCCATCTTCGGGAAGGGACACCATTCTGAACGCGGTTGTCAACTTCTGTGCTTCCAACAACAGATTTTTCTTAACATGCAGACCATGGGAAGGCAAACTAAGGCCCGGGGGCCGGATCTGGCCCAATCGCCTTCTCAAACCGGCCTGGGAATCAGCGTGTTTTTACATGAGTAGAATGGGTCCTTATATTTAAAATGCATCTCTGGGTTATTTGTGGGGCCTGCCTGGTGTTTTTACATGAGTAGAATGTGTCCTTTTATTTAAAATGCATCTCTGGGTTATTTGTGGGACATAGGAATTTGTTCATTATTTTTTTCAAAATATAGTCCGGCCCCCCACAAGGTCTGAGGGACAGTAGACCTGCCCCCTGCTGAAAATGTTTGCTGACCCCTGATGCAGACAAAGCATCTACTAAGCATCTTAGCTACAAAGTGGGTTCAGTCCCCATTTGCCTCAAGAGGAGATGACCACAAGTCCCTAATGTTCCAGAACCAAAATCCCTGAAAGGAAGTACCTTAAGACATTGGGCTCAATTGACTGGGACGCAAGTTTCTCAAAGAGTCTGATTAGAGGCAGATGCAAGGCGTTGTTGTCGTTGTGTAGCACCTCTAAGCATGAGGTAACAAGAGCGTTCAGCAGGCCAGCTCCACAGGCCACCTGGCGATTCTTCTCCATCTTCATCAAGGACTGGATGTGATTGGCCACAGCGTATTGGATTTCCCATGATAGCTGAAACGACAGAGGGGAGGGAACAGAAAGAAAAGAATATGAGGGGTTTGCCATGGCTGCTGCCAGGTTAAAGGTAAAGGGTAAAGGGACCCCTGACCAGCCGTGACCGACTCTGGGGTTGCGGCGCTCATCTTGCTTTATTGGCCGAGGGAGCCGGCGTACAGCTTCCGGGTCATGTGGCCAGCATGACTAAGCTGCTTCTGGCGAACCAGAGCAGCGCACGGAAATGCCGTTTACCTTCCCACTGGAGTGGTACCTATTTATCTACTTGCACTTGATGTGCTTTCGAACTGCTAGGTTGGCAGGAGCAGGGACCGAGCAACGGGAGCTCACCCCTTTGCGAGGATTCGAACCGCCGACCTTCTGATCAGCAAGTCCTAGGCTCTTTGGTTTAACCCGTAGCGCCACCAGCGTCCCCTGCTGCCAGGTTACTAATAGCTAAAAACTGGAAAGGGGACATTGTCCCCTCAATAGAGGATTGGTTAAACAAATTGTGTGAATTTACAGAGCTGGCCAAAATGACAGCAGCCATTAGACTTCCATCGAATCAGAAACTCAAGAAGGAATGGGTCTGTTTGGAAGAATATATGATGAAACTTCATTCCAAAATAAATGTATCAACAGGCATTGGTAAAGCTAAGAAAAAAATTATCGTAAGATTGTTCTTGGGGTTAAGGTAACTAATATATATAACACAATGGTAAGTTTAAAAATATAACAAAAGATGTTGAGCTGTGGTGGAGGGAAGTCACAATAACAGAAATAAGGAAACTATTTATTTATTTATACACATGTTCAGTAATGAAATAGATACGAAATGGAATGTACTGCTGAAAACGGGAATCTACAAATGTAATATTCAATACTCTATATTTTGTATATTCTATATTTTATATTCTATTATATAGTAACTAAATAAACACTCAATAAAATTTTTGAAAAAAGAAGATGAGGGGCTTGCTAATTTCTCCAAAGGAAACCTGCACTCTCATGGGATATACATAAACTAGAGATGAATCAGAATAATAAAAAAGGGCAGCATTTGTCGGATTCTCCAAATCTGAGAGCCGGACTTTAATATAGAAACCTCACCCCGGAATTCAGCATCCAGCTTCGGAATAAAAATTTGAAATTTGCTTGTAGTGATGGACAGGATTAATGAATGGGGTTCATATAAAGTTATTAGATTCTGTTTCAAGGCAGCTGTCAAATACCGATTATAGTTCCCTGCCTGCTGTCAGATAGTATCAAATGTTCACTGCCATAAGTCAGGTTTCATCAAAAGCTAGCTGCTATTCCATGCCAGCTATCATATTATAGTCCTACTGGGAACTGAACACAAATGTCTGATGCCGCATATTGAATATATGGTTAATGTTAACACTTATTTTCACCATCAGAATTCGCAGAAGAGAATTTTCAGAAGTTTTGTCTCAAATTTGTTCTAGCTCCGGCAGAGAACCATGAGGACTATAAGGATAATTCATCGAGAGGGATTGTAGCCTGGAAAGAGTCCTGGGGGCCACAGAGAGAAACCTGAATGGCCATAATTGGCCCTCTAGTCTCCCTATAGCCTATGCAGGGACACGGGTGGCGGGTTAGCTGTGGTCTAAACCACTGAGCCTCTTGGGCTTGCTGATCGGAAGGTAAGCAGTTCGAATCCCTGTGACAAGGTGAGCTCCCATTGCTCTATCCCAGCTCCTGCCAACCTAGCAGTTCGAAAGCATGCCAGTGCAAGTAGATAAATAGGTACCACTGTGGTGGGAAAGTAAATGGCGTTTCTGTGCACTCTGGCACTCGTCACAGTGTTCTGTTGTGCCAGAAGTGGTTTAGTCATGCTGGCCACATGACCCGGAAAAGCTATCTGTGGACAAACGCTGGCTTCCTCAGCCTGAAAGCGGAGATGAGTGTTGCACCCCACAGTCGATTTCGACTGGACTTAACTATCCAGGGGTCCTTTACCTTTTTTTTTTATTAACACCTTTGTAGGCTATGCACATCTGGGAAGCAAATCTAGCTGGGTCACAAAACATGAAGAAAGAGAGGTATCAAACTGCATGGTATTGTGGTAAATTAATCAGAATTCATTGTTATAGCTAGCTGAATACATATTATAGCTACATAAACTTGAGAGAAAAGTGGCAAAATTAATGGTAAGTCTCCTTGTATTAACTGTGCAAAGAACAAATTCCGTGTGACTTTGCAGAAATGATTTGCCTTGCTATGCATTTTTTGGCGAGCAGGGTATGTTTCAATTGTCTTTTCGTACTCTTGGGATTTTGTAAATATTGCCAAAAATCCAAAAAAGAAAAGAAAATGGTCGGGGCATGGTGGGATTTTAAATAATATAATAATGAGCTTCGTTGTTTAGTCATTTAGTCATAGTCGACTCTTTATGACCCCATGGACCAAAGCACGCCAGGCACTCCTGTCTTCCACTGCCTCCCGCAGTTTGGTCAAACTCATGTTAGTAGCTCCGAGAACACGGTCCAACCATCTCATCCTCTGTCGTCCCCTTCTCCTTCTGCCCTCCATCTTTCCCAACATCAGGGTCTTTTCCAGGGAGTCTTCTCTTCTCATGAGGTGGCCAAAGTATTGGAGCCTCAGCTTCATGATCTGTCCTTCCAGTGAGCACTCAGGGCTGATTTCCTTCAGAATGGATAGGTTGGATCTTCTTGCAGTCCATGGGACTCTCAAGAGTCTCCTCCAGCACCATAATTCAAAAGCATCCATTCTTTGGCGATCAGCCTTCTTTATGGTCCAGCTCTCACTTCCATACACCACTACTGGGAAAACCATAGTATGACCATAATGAGCTATTATTGCTATATCTTTGGCCTCTTCCCAGTCCTGAGTAGAGCCAATGGTACCATGCTGCAGCAGAAGTCAACAATATATGTCTTCTTATCACCAGCCTAACAATGCTTCTGTTTGGGTCTGTACAGCTAGGGTGGTACTAGGCCACAAGTACATGGCCGATGAGCTGGGTTTGGATGGGTTAATGACTAGTTCAGGCCAGTCCTAAAGAAACACACTGAAATTGCTCAAAGCCCAAATGGACTCTTCTCCATCTCTAAGAGTTTTTTCACAAGAACTCTTAAGGGACCGTGTTCTCCAATTCTCCAAGAACCGAGAGAGCATCTTAATCTAGATATTTTAAAGTAGCTTCTAATGCTTTTTGTGCTTTAAATATTGCACTTCCTAATAATTATTTCAGTGGGGGAAAAGCAAGGTCAAGAAAAGAAAAGCAAACCTATGTTGATCTTGGCTAAGTAAACAAGTAATCTCCAAAATAAATTCAATATGGCCATAATGGAGTACAAGGAATTGATTGTTCTCATTATGACAGCAGTCCTGCCAATAACAAGATTGCCTTGTTTTGAATAAAATGTGCTGTTTTCAGGGATGCTCATTCCAGTAAAAAGGGGTTTTTAGTGAAAAAAAATTAATGGTGGCAGGAAACTAGTCTCTGTTTCCCCAGCTTATAGATTGATTTTCCTACAAATCACTCCCACAATTCGTCAGGGATACAGAAGGTGCAATTAGAAATCAGCAGACGAGCTCACAACTTTGCATGAGGGTGAAGTCTAAGGGCAACAGTGTCATTCAGCAACATGCCATATACTTTTAAGTAGTTTTCATCTCCTCCTTTCCAGTGCAATTCACAACTTTATAGCCTTGGGAACCGTACCTGTGTTTCTCTACATTGCAGATCCTATTGAATGTATTGCTCTCGTTTATTCCCATTTTTTATTCCCATTGCATTCAGATTCATACATTTGAAAGCATCTGGGGATTATTAAGCATGATATAAATATTCTAAATTAATAATGTTTGCTTTTGAGCTTGTGCTTTCAGTTTGGAATGCTTAAGGAATTTGATCTGTGTGAATTCTGGGATGAAATCATCAGATCTCAGATACAGAGAGAATAATAGATTAATAAGAACTCAGTTACCCATAATGCCCTAAAATTTCACACTTCCCAAATGCCCTAAAATTCTGCACAGATTCAGGGGGACATAAGGAGATTTGGCATAAAGAGGGAGAAATAAAATAGAGACAGTACTGGGCTGGGCAACACCCTGATAAAAATACAAATTGCCCCCTCCCTTGTCAGCAGATGGATCATTTGATGGGAAAAGAGATCATTTGATGGGTAAACCTTTCTAGAATAAAGGTTCCCTTTACCCTTTCTGGGACGTGGGTGGCACTGTGGGTTAAACCACAGAGCCTAGGACTTGCCGATCAGAAGGTCGGCGGTTCGAATCCCTGTGACGGGGTGAGCTCCTGTTGCTCGGTCCCTGCTCCTGCCAACCTAGCAGTTCGAAAGCATGTCAAAGTGCAAGTAGATAAATAGGTACCACACCGGCAAGAAGGTAAATGGCGTTTCTGTGCGCTGCTCTGGTTCGCCAGAAGTGGCTTAGTCATGTTAGCCACATGACCCGGAAGCTGTACACCGGCTCCCTTGGCCAATAAAGCGAGATGAGCGCCGCAACCCCAGAGTCGGTCACGACTGGACCTAATGGTCAGGGGTCCCTTTACCTTTGCCCTTTCTGGAAGTTGGCCTTCAGTGGATGCCTCCCCATCTTTCAGAGCTGAGTACTAGGGCAAAGAAAGGCTGCAGCAATTCCATTTGTTTTCCCAAAGTGGGGCTTCTAGGCCCCACTCAAAAGAGGCTGGAAGGAATCCTTTAATCTGAAAGCACTGCAACATTTGCTTTTGATCTTATGGGGCCTTGTAATCTAAGGAACCAAAGAGCCAACAAATGACTATGAAGGCAGGACTTACTTCTGGGTGAGCCTCATTGTAGAGCTTGCAAATCAGTTTCACCATGACACAAAGAGCCCCAGGACACACAATTTCCCCGTCCTCAGCATCTAACCTGAAGAGAAAAGACATGGAGAGAGTTCACGTAACTCTAGAGGCATGGGCAGATAGACATCAGTGTGTAATAAAAGACAACAGTTTAGAACATAAGGATATCCTTGCTGGGTCAAACAGGAGTCCACCTACTCCAGCATTTTTCTATAGCCCAGTCTAGAAGTTCACAAGCAGAGCAGGAACATGACCATAATACACTGCTTCATATTCCCTGGTACTAAGACAAATGTAAGATCCATTTGGCTACTATAGTTTTCAGTTTGCTGACGGGAAGACTAAGAGACAACTCAAAACAGAGACTAGATAAAGAATGGAATGTCTTTAGAGAGTATATAAATCAGCACTGTAAAAAGCGAAATGCTTTGACAGGTCTGGACTGAATCTTGCAAGACAATAGAGGAATAAATAAAAAAGTAATTCTAAACATCTAGAAAAATAAAAATAAAAAGGGTGAAGTAGAAAATGAAGTTCAGATAACACAAGGGGATGAATGGAAGTCAAGAGAACATTTTTTTGGTGTTTTTGTTTGTTGTGACTGTATTGTTTTGTTTGTTGTGTTTTGTTTTTGTTTGTTTTGTTTTTGTAAAATGTATTGTATGTATAGTACTAATAAAGTTTAATAAAGCAGAAATCAATGTAGATCTTTATTTTTCTGTTGCAACACAGTTTCCCACCCCCTTTGCAAGGAGGTGAGGACCCAGAATAAGGATGCACAAGAATGTTTAAAATACTTTAGAGATTGCCCATCCCCTTAGCCAAAGACACCCCCCACCAAAAAAAAGAAAGCGTCATACATAGTTCACAGAAAGAGGCGGTCTACAACAGAAATTTGAGGGTGTGGTTTGTCTGCTGTTTGACAAGATACCTGATATTTACTGATTGCATTACCTGGTAAGTCTGGCCATTCTTTTGAAATGGTAAAGACTTTAGTTCTGAATACAGGTATATTCACACACAAAATATGCCCTTAAGACAGGATTTGAAGGATTTGTAATTGGGGGGTGGGGGGGACATTGGGGAAGGCTTTTCCAAGATATTTCCTTCTGCAGAGGAAATATTTGAGGTAATTAAGAGTCAAGATGGCTTCAGGATTGCTCTCCTATACTTTTTCAGACATGTGGTTTATATACTTATGTGTGTAGATGGCAAAACTGACTGGAAAACTCAGAAACCAATAGGAAAAAACTTATGAAAGAATGGGAAAAAAATTGTGAGTTATTTATGAGACCACTATAAGCAGACAGAAACAAAGGCAGGATTTTGATGTCACTTCTAGTGTAAAAATTACGATGGATAATATGGTTTGATATAAAAATTGGAGTATGCATGAATATGCAGCAGTAGATGTTTAAAATGAGACCCCATAGAGGAGATTGGGAGGGGAGCGAGTCTTGAAATTCAGAGAATCTCTTTATATAAATATACAATCAAACCTCGGTTCTCAAATGGCTCCGTTTTCAAACATTTCGGCTCCCGAACACCAAAAAACCAGAAGTAAATGCTCTGGTTTTCGAATGTTTTTCGGAACCCGATAGTCTGACACGGCTTCCGTTTGAGTGCAAGAAGTTCTTGCAACCAATCAGAAGCCACACCTTGGGTGTCGAACATTTCAGAAGTCGAACGGTCTTCCAGAACTGATTATGTTCGACAACCGGGGTTTGACTGTACTTTTTAATTCTCTGTTCATTTGTATTTTGTATTTGTAAAACCAGTAAAAACGATTCTCTCGCTCTCTCTCACACACACATGTGTGTTTACCTTGTGGACTTCTGAACATTTATTTTATATTTTATATTATTTTTTAAATTACAGTGGTACCTCGGGTTAAGAACTTAATTCGTTCTGGAGGTCTGTTCTTAACCTGAAACTGTTCTTAACCTGAAGCACCATTTTAGCTAATGGGGCCTCCTGCTGCCACCACGCGATTTCTGTTCTCATCCTGAAGCAAACTTCTTAACCCAAGGTAATATTTCTGGGTTAGCGGAGTCTGTAACCTGAAGCGTCTGTAATCTGAAGCGTATGTAACCCGAGGTACCACTGTATATTTTATGTTTTATGAGACCTTAGAATTCTTATAAGTAACAAAAAGACCCCTTCCTGGATCTTGAAACAGCTCCACTGCTGTCCAGTCAAAGCAAAATGCCACACATTCCCAAGCTACATCAACCTTTCTTCACGATGTTCAGGCTGGTTCAAAAAATGGCAGCCGGGAAACCAAGCTCTCAATTCTCCTAAACAGTCCTGTGGCTGACACAGGATAGGGAGAGGAAAGAGCATTCATCCTGCCCCTCTACAAATGCTTGAGAGTTTGCACTTGTCAATTAACAAATCATTTTTTAAAAGCAAGCAGTCCCCAATTTTTGGAAACGCATGGATGGTGGCAAAATGCCAACCAGAATGGGCATCTGTTTCAAAGATGCTCCATGACAAATGATGACAGGACTGTGCTTTACAAAGGTCGAGCCCTAAATACTGAATACTAGTAATTAAACTGTCCGTAAACGCTGTGTGAACATCAGTTTACAAAGCAGATACTAGAGTAGTACAGAACACACATACTGCCCTCCAGTGCCACGGGAATTTTACTTCACTCTCAGCCAGCTGCTTCCTTGCAGATTGCCCTGCAACAAAAATTAAGATTGCCGTTTCTAAATATTATTAAAGTTAATTGCTGTTTGCTTGAACTTGGCAGGTCAAAACTGGCACTTTCATAACTGTCACCAGTGTCCCCCAACTGCCTAATGACCACATCAGAGATAAATACAAGCCTCACATTTTTAATGTGTGAACCTGGGGGGGGGGACACACATTCTACTATGCTAGAAGGGATGCGGGTGTCACTGTGGGTTAAACCGCAGAGCCTAGGGCTTGCTGATCAGAAGGTCAGCAGTTCGAATCCCTGCGACGGGGTGAGCTCCCGTTGCTCAGTCCCTGCTCCTGCCAACCTAGCAGTTCGAAAGCACGTCAAAGTGCAAGTAGATAAATAGGTACCACTCCAGCAGGAAGGTAAATGGCGTTTCCATGCGCTGCTCTGGTTCGCCAGAAGCAGCTTTGTCATGCTGGCCACATGACCCGGAAGCTGTACGCCGGCTCCCTTGGCCAATAAAGTGAGATGAGTGCCACAACCCCAGAGTCGGCCACGACTGGACCTAATGGTCAGGGGTCCCTTTACCTTTGACTATGCTAGAACTTATTCCCAAATTCACATCGCTCAGGAGGTTGGTTGGGAGGAATGATATCACTGAAAACCAGGGCTTTTTCTTTCTTCAGCTGGAACTCACAGGAACTTGGTTCCAGCGTCTCTCAGGGGTGCTCCTTTGCCATCGTAAGAGAACAAGGGAAACGTTCGCGGTGAGTTCCAGCACCTCTTTTTTCTAGAAAAACACCACTGCCGCAAACATGCCCAAATTTTCTGTTCTTGTTCAGATTCCTCCTGGCTTGCAGCCCCACTGGGCTCCAGCACATTAGGCAGCAGAAAGAGAACATCGCTTGCACCCATGAATGCCAACTCTTTCCCGACAGCCTCATTCCTCATACGCTTTTCATAAAACAAACACTTTGGTCACGGTAGAGGTCTGCCTTAGCAGAAAATGATGGCCCATCCACGGGCAGAAAGCCCTCTTACAGACCTTTCCCCATCGAAAGAAGCCTGAGTGTGGGTTATAAGGTTATTCTCATTATTACTTTTATATTATATTTTATATCTGTTTATGGCCTGCCTTTTTCACTGACAATGATTCAAGATGGCTGGCTTACAGATAAAATAGGAACAGATAAAAGCACTGGGTGGGTGGGGAGTATTTCTCTCGTGGAAGTAAATAGGTTTTGTATGTTACGTAACATACAAAAGTCCACCCTACTGGTTCCACCGTGTGGTTGACACAACAAATAAGGTGAGGCAGATCATGTGGTTATTTCTCACTGGATTGTTGCCATTCTTCCCAGAAAGGCAACATGTGGGAAGGAAAGACCCACATGACTTTCCATGTGGTTGTTTCACGCACACAAACGCCCAATTAACATGGGATGCAGCTCCCATGGCAACGCACAAAATTATGAACAGGACCAAGTTCTGGCCATCCCCAGTTCTGTGGTAAAGCTACAAATTTCAGGGGTAAGAAACTTTTCTGGATGTGACTAAAGCAATAAGTTAAAAATAACTGATAAATAGGAGCCAATGAAGATACATTTTTCATTGGTGAGGCTGCAAGTTGAGGTCCCATAAAACTGATTATGCTAGAATTTCTTGCTTAGTTCACAACTTCCTGGTGCAGAAACAGACTCTTCAAGTGTCCCTGTTTCCCAGGGATATCCCTGATTTAGAGATTTAGGTTTCTGATTTGATCCCAGAATGTCCCTACAGTGGTGCCTAGCAAGACGAAATTAATTCGTTCCGCGAGTTTTGTCGTCTTGCGATTTTTTTCGTCTTGCGAAGCACGGTGTCGGGAAAGTTTTGGAAAAGCTTCAAAAATCACCAAAGTCTTTAAAAACCTCAAAAAAGGCTACCACACCGCGTTCTATGAGTTGCTCCTTGAAGTCAAGTCGCAACTGTATTAACGGTGTTAAGAAAAAGGAAACAAACTTGCAAGACGTTTCCGTCTTGCGAAGCAAGCCCATAGGGAAAATCGTCTTGCAAAGCAGCTCAAAAAACAAAAAACCCTTTCGTCTAGCGAGTTTTTTGTCTTGCGAGGCATTCGTCTTGCAAGGTACCACTGTATTTTCATCAAAGAAACGTCAGAGGGTATGGTAGGATGCCCATATTTTCTTTGGAGTTATCCAACCCCCTTATGGTCTTAAGTTATTGGCTACTTTTAAAATGAGGCTGCATTTTAAATTGCACTTTAACTTGTATTTTAAATTGGGTTTTTCCCCCTATTATGTTTTTACTGTGATTTTATTGGTGTTAGCCGCCCTGAGCCTGGCTCTGGTATAAATTATTATTATTATTATTATTATTATTATTATTATTATTATTATCATCATCATCCTGTTTTGGACATGTAGAGATTGTCACACAGGGCTGTTCCAGGGCTCATTCGGGCTTTACATAATTTTGCTTATGCACACAATAGTCAGGAACATAACCCCAGCCTAAGGTGAGATCTACCTGCAACGATCTGGGTAGGCTTGTGACCTGACTCTGTTTAAGGCAGGTTTCCATATGGACGGCTCATTCTTGATTCCTCGCTGCTCTTTGGCGTGAGGCCTCTGAAGAAACGGCTTCTTTGAGGAGGAAGTGGGAATACTGAGGAGTCGAAGGAGGAAGCCGTAGCAGAATGTTTGGCAACTGCACATAATAATGGGAACCTCACAAAAAAGAAGTATTGGCGGCATTTGAAACTACGGAGATCTGAAGGGGAGGCTGTCAGTTACAACCATCTTGTCATTGTGGCCCTCCAGCACACTGTCATGCTATTGTAGGTGCGCATCCAGCCGCACAGCATAATTCTATATGCTGCATAATTCTGCAGAAGAGTATACAGTGGTACCTCGGGTTACATACGCTTCAGGTTACATACGCTTCAGGTTACAGACTCCGCTAACCCAGAAATAGTGCTTCAGGTTAAGAACTTTGCTTCAGGATGAGAACAGAAATCGTGCTCTGGCGGCGCGACAGCAGCAGGAGGCCCCATTAGCTAAAGTGGTGCTTCAGGTTAAGAACAGTTTCAGGTTAAGAACAGACCTCCGGAACGAATTAAGTACGTAACCAGAGGTACCAGTGTACTGTGCTTTGGGTTGCATCCACAACAGACCTCCTCTTGTGTAACAGGACTTCCACGTGTACCTGCAAAATCTGCTCCAGAGGGTTGGTGGACACTTTGGAACAGATGTTGGGGGCATGCTGAGAGAGGAACACATTATACTGGGCATACCATTCTCAAAACATCTATGAACAACATACAGTGGTACCTCGGGTTACAGACGCTTCAGGTTACAGACTCCGCTAACCCAGAAATAGTACCTCAGGTTAAGAACTTTGGTTCAGGTTCAGGATGAGAACAGAAATTGCACAGTTGCGGCACGGCGGCAGCAGGAGACCCCATTAGCTAAAGTGGTACAAAGGTTAAGAACAGTTTCAGGTTAAGAACGGACCTCCAGAACGAATTAAGTTCTTAACCCGAGGTACCACTGTACTATGTTATATGGCCCTCAGAATTTTCCTTGTTAAAAAAAGACCAACTTTTTTTGCAAGGCCATTCTCTATATTTCCACAACACTAGCAAAATATACAGCTGTATAAAAAATAGGCTGCCAAGCTGCAATCTTCTGCGCATGTCTGATTTTAGAGCACAAAATAGGCCCGTGGGCATAAATGCTGAACCTTCCTTCAGCCCATCACTTCATACCAAGAAAGGTCCCACTTCCAATCACTGTCTTCCGAGCTGGGCTCTAAACCAAGTTAGAGGCAGTTTTGTTCCTGTCATGTTATACGGCGTTTGAGCTTTTATCCTGTGTCAACATGCACAGAAGCAGGCTGCCAGTTAATTACTGCACATGGAGATGGACAAATCGGTTGCTGTCAGTTTCCCTCAGATTCTTACTTTTCCAAACTTAAATTCAGTTTGCCACAGTCCTCGTGAAAATCCACCAGCACTTCCATTCACAGTTCTCCTGACATGCAAGGTTTTTGTATGCAATTTCTCACAATATACATTTTTCAAGCAATTTCCCCTATTATATTTTGTGTTCTTTTCCCACAAACATACACATTTTTATGCACACTTTTCCTTTAAAAAAACAAAACACCTTTTAGTACACAATATTTGCCTGAAGAGCTTTGTTATGAAACCCAGAGTAGTGCAAACCACGAAGGATCCATGTATTTCAATTCACATATTGTTTCATGGAAGCTGAATAAAATGTCTCCCCCTTCACTTACCGTATGAAAAGAATGCTGTAAAAATATAATAACAGAAGCATCTTTAGACATTTTTTTAGTACTTATAGTAGTCAAAAACTTACCTGTCTTTGAATTCTGGCTGTAGGTCTACAGGTGCTCTATTTTCACCTGAATGCTCAAAGTTGTCTTCAGTTTCTTCTGGTTTATTTTCTTTTACATCTTGAGGGACTTGATCTACACCTAGTTTCATGTCCACCAAGTAGCTCTTGAGTTCGAAGGGGTTCCTCTTGGCCATGTTGTCAAGGAAACTGAGTATAATTATGCAGCTTTTAAGCCAGGTAGGAAAGGACTCGGGTGAGGAAACAGCTGCATTTGAAAATTCAGCAAACGACCGTGTTGCGTGGAGCTGTACTGGAATCTGACCCCACTTCTGTCCTGAGAAGCAGCCTAGCAAGCCAAGGTCCTCCGCCATCTTGTCAAAGAGCCCGTTCTTTTGGAAAAAATCACGGTTGACAGCGTCCGAATAGATAGCAGCCGCTATTGCTTGGAGTATATGCAATACGAGCTCCATTATGTGGCTAGGACCAAACGGGGCCCACAAGCTTGAGGGCGGATCCTGCAACGCGCCTTCCATGTCAGCCAGCAGAGAGAGCAGCCCATTAAAACCACTGCTGGTTCTGAAGGCTGAACGGCCCTTGGGATTATCCAGTGTCCTCAGGAGAGACTTTGGAATTGGAGAGTGAGAAAGGAAGAAAGTACTTAGTCATCACTTCATTTGCTCTGTAAACTTTAAATATTGAATATTGAAATACTTTATTGTCACTTGTACAACTTGTATGCAGTGAGATTACACAAGCACCCCCCACTCAACTCTCTTAGTCTTAATTCCCCTCGTTTACTGACGCACACCCACCAAACCCGAAAGTCAGTTGCCCTGTTGTTATCTTTTCATTCAGCAGCCTAACAGCCATGGATAGAAGCTGTTCTTTACCCTGTTGGTGTGACTAATCATGCTTCTATATCTTCTGCCTGAGGGCAGGAGATCAAGAAAGTGCCGGCCAGGGTGTGAATCATCCCTGAGAATTTTCCTCACTCTCCTGAGGCAACGTTCTTCCGCTATTTCATCCAGCGGATTCACGGGACAGCCCATAATATCTTGTGCTGTATTCTCCACCCTCTGTAGGCACTTCCTATCAGATGATGTCAAAGCAGCGTACCACACCGTGATGCAGTATGAAAGGACACTTTCTATTGTGGACCGGTAGAAGGAGATCATCAAATGTTGATTGACATCGTTCTTCTGCAAGACTCTGAGGAGATGGAGTCTCTGTTGGGCTTTCGTAACCACCTGGTTGTATTTATTTTCCAAGTAAGGTCTTCACTGAGATAAACTCCTAGGAATTTAAAGGAGTGATTTGGGCCTAGGGCTCAGTGTGGTAGGTTGTAAACCTTCGGGATGTACCGAAATGCAAATGGGGTTCCCTCGACTGAATGATCCTCCATTTAAAAAACAACAACAACATGCCATCCAACATTTCTCCAATGAAAATAGGGACGTCCCGTTCCATAATAATAGTAATTTTATTATTTGTACCCCACCCATCTGACTGAGTTGCCCAGCCACTCTGGGCAGCTTCCAACATACAGTGGTACCTCGGGTTACATACGCTTCAGGTTACATTAAGAACTTTGCTTCAGGATGAGAACAGAAATCGGGCTGTGGCGGTGCAGCAGCAGCAGGAGGCCCCATTAGCTAAAGTGGTGCTTCAGGTTAAGAACAGTTTCAGGTTAAGAATGGACCTCCGGAATGAATTAAGTACTTAACCTGAGGTACCACTGTATATGAAAATATATTAAAACATTGAACTTAAAAGGGGGGGCTGTCTTCAGATGTATTCTAAAGGTGGTATAGTTACTCATCCCCTTGACTCGTGGGTCACATAACTCCATACCCTCCAACATTTCTCTGATGAAAATAGGGACATCCTAAGGAAAAGTGTGACATTCTGGGATCAAATCAGAAACCAAGAGGGCTTCTGTAAATCCGGGACTGTCCCTGGAAAATAGGGCTGAGAAACTTGAACTGTCCAGAATAAGGTGCTTGGAACAAACTTGTAACTCTATCAAGAAAAAGGAATGAGATTTGCCTGGCATGACTTGTTTTTGAGAAACCCATGCTGGGTCTTAGTAATGACAGCAGAGGCAGCCAGTTCCGTGGAGCTCATTGTGTACGCATGACGTCACATGTGCGACACACACGTGTGATGTCCCGCACCTTGGGAGCAGGCCACAAGGCCCAGGGAAGCCACAAGGCCCAGGGGTCCACTGCTGCTCTGGGGGGGCCTGGGGGGCTGTCCCCACATCCTTTTTTGGGGGGTGCTGTCCTCAGCCCCATAGAGTTGGTGCCTATTATTCAGAGCATCCTTTTCTAAGTGCTCACAGACCAAGCACATGAGGTGAAACATTCCCACCACGACATACAAATTCTCTCTGTTTCTCTCTTCCCCTTAACCCATCAAATGGGTGAGAAGGGGACTTGCCAGAAACACAGGAGGAGGACTTTATTACTGTCATTCAGTTTTGCATGCTAATGTATCATACTAGCCTCCTGAACAGAGCATAAATCTAATCAGTTGGACTTCAAAGTATCAGGATAGCTCTGACACATATCTAGAAAGGTCAGGAGTAACTCCATTTCTTCTCGCTCTAACTCTGTTATAGTTTAATTGTCTGTCCTTCTGGCTGGAATCTATAAAAGGTTTGCCTGCAGTGGAACCCCCTAACTCATTTACAGCTAACAGAATTTATTTTCACATTGCATTATTCGTTATTCCTCATAATTGCCTACCTCATGCCACTCTGGAATACTGTAGAGCTAATCACATTTGAGCTTGGGGTTTAACAGCTAAATATATATTAGCAAATCAATCTGAATTTGTGCATAATGTAATCACTGTCCCAAGGGCTGTATATAACAAATTCATTTTCTTACATTATGTATTAACACAGTTATAATTTGTCAGAATTAGGCACCAAAGCTGCATTGCTTATCACTGGATCAGGTAATGCAACAAACTCATTCTTAAAAAGATTGTTGGATCAACTGCGGTAAGTTTATTCTCTTCAGTGGATGCAAGGCATCTTTGAGTGGGTTGCGGTTTTCTTTCATTCTAGAAGGTAGGGTTATAGTAAGAAATGTTTGTCTAAACCTTTCTGGGGGCAGGAGACCACCCCACCCCAGCTGTGGGGTGGGATGCAGAAAATTAGAACACAAGCCCTGTTTTAAAGAATCTGAACAACTCCTAGAAACTTGAAATAATTGCAAAACAATGGAGTCAGAACCGACTTGTCTACATAGCTGATATAGTGTTCCCATCTGGCCTGAAATCCTTCTCACAGATGTACTGGCAATGATGAATAGGGCCTGCTACGAAATAGCAATATGCTGATGACACACAGCTCTGTTTCTCCTTTACATCTGCAGGTGTGGCAGCGGATGTTCTGGATCATTGTCTTGACTCGGTAATGGACTGGATGAGAGCCAATAAACTGAAGCTCAATCCAGATAAGATGGGAGGCACTGTTAGTGGGTGGCTCCCATGACCAGATGGACAGGAGGTTGCCTGCTCTTGCTTCTGGCAAACCAGAGCAGCACACGGAAACACCATTTACCTTCCCACCAGAGTGGTACCTATTTATCTACTTGCACTTTGATGTGCTTTCGAACTGCTAGGTTGGCAGGAGCTGGGACCGAGCAACGGGAGCTCACCCCGTTGCGGGGATTCGAACCGCCGACCTTCTGATCGGCAAGCCCTGGGCTCTGTGGTTTAGACCACAGCGCCACCCGCGTCCCCTCTTGATGGGGTAGTTACAACATATAGAGCACAACAGGGTGAATGGTAATGTTTGTAACAAATTTCTTTACTGGTTACTTCCTAACATGGAATCAAGTCCAGGATATACACCATATACAATCCTTAAGGTATATAACCTATTTAATTAAATCCAATGAATATACAGTCATACCTCAGTTACAGACGCTTCAGGGTGCATTTTTTTGGGCTGCGGACCACCGAAACCCGCAAGTACCGGAACGGGTTACTTCCGGGGTTCGGTGGTCACGCATGTGCAGAAGTGCTAAATTGCACTTTGTGCATGCGCAGAAGCACCAAATCGAAACCCGCAGATGCGCCACTGCGTGTTGCGAACGTGCATCCCGCACGGATCACGTTCACAACCCAAGCGTCCACTGTATATTTATTCCTTCTTAATACATTCTTATGTTACACAGTCCTCGAATGATTAAGGAAAGGTCACCGGAATGTCACGGACAATACAGCTGATGAGGTTGCCTAGTATAGGTAGCAGACAGAGGCACGTTGGCCCAGGCAGAGACACAGGCGGTCTAGCCCAGGTAGCTGGGTAGGCATAACAAGGTTTCCAGACATTTCCTTGTTTTGCCCTAAAGGGCTTCCTCAGCTGTTAATAGTTCTATAGAATATAAATATAGACACTTGATAATACTATGGTCAATATTTTCCGTGACATTCCGGGAGCATTTCCTTAATCATTCGAAGACTGTGTAACATAAGAATGTATTATGAAGGAAGAAATATACAGTGGTACCTCAGGTTAAGTACTTAATTCATTCCGGAGGTCTGTTCTTAACCTGAAACTGTTCTGAACTTGAAGCACCACTTTAGCTAATGAGGCCTCCCACTGCTGCCGCGCTGCCGGAGCATGATTTCTGTTCTCATCCTGAAGCAAAGTTCTTAACCTGAAGCACTATTTCTGGGTTAGCGGAGTCTGTAGCCTGAAGCGTATGTAACCTGAGGTACCACTGTATCTGCATTTGATTTAATTAGGTTATATACCTTAAGGATTGTATATAGTGTACATGATTCGCATGTTAGGAAGTAACCAGTAAAGAAATTTGTTACAAACATTACCATTGAGCCTGTTGCACTTCTATACAGAGCCATCTTTCCCATAGGGCTCAGTGGTTCGTTGCGCCAGGGCGCAGGCCTCTCAGGGGCACCCCAGCGAAGGGCGGTATACAAAATCATTCATTCAATCAATCAATCAATCAATCAATAATATAGAATTTCCTCAGCATTCAGTGCAGGAGGGGAAAACAAAAGTAGAAAAGAGCAAGCCCAGCCATCACGTATTTCTACATAAAGAGGGTGGGGAACTAAATAAACAAGAAGGAGTATTTCGTATTTATCACCTTAAGTAGATCCAGCTTGAAGTTTAGTTCCCCTTGGGTAGAAGAGCACAAGGCCCCAACGATGATGCTCATGTACTCCTCAGGGTTGATAACTGAGAGATGCTCCAAGATAGTCAGGGTATCATTTCGGTACAATTCATCGTCTATAAAAATCTTGATATATGGCACCATCCCGTAGTCTCTGAGAACCACTAAAGCAGTAAGTAAACATAGTTAGCTGATCCATGACCACACCACACCTTGGATTGCTGCATACCGAGATAAGTTTGAAGATATATTAGTTTTATCCTATTGCATAAATTGTCCAGGGTCTTCAAGGAGAGGACCAGCTAGCTAGCCAAGAATCACCAAAAACAAATATAAGGATTATAGTGAATAATGTCAGTTCTAACTCTAGAGAAGAGTTAACGCACTTAGAACAGTGTTTTCCCAACAGTGTTTCTCCAGCTGTTTTCAGACTACAATTCCCATCATCCCTTGCCACTAGCTAAGGCTGATGGGAGTTGTAGTCCAAAAACAGCTGGAGACCCAAGTTTGGGAAACAATGGCTTAGAAATTCACTCATGCATGGAAAAAGCATGAAAATAGCAAATTAGAGGGCCCCCATCTTTAAGCGTTCTGCAGTATCACACATAGCAATATTGGACAATTCTAGCAAACACGGAAACGGGAGTGAAAATTTGAGATAAGGCTTCATTTGGCTGTTATTTTCCCAGTCTGAGAGGGAAAATGGTGAAAACAGGTTATTTATTGGGACAGAGTGGATTTTGCAGCTGTTGTTAAAGTTGCAAAACAAGGAAGCATGGGACAGAGTGAGGGAGAAATTTCTGGAACAGCAATGGGATATCAGCTCCGCCCAAGGCATGATGGATAACAGCAACAACTGGGAAAAGACGGACATAACATTTTACAAAGACACGAAGAAACACCACAGACAGAATAATTGCCACACACAGGAAGAATAAGGATATAGTTTGAGTGCCTCACTTGTAGTTCTATAAATCATTTAATGTGTCAACACAAATAGAAGTTATTAATATTGCAGTTATTGTATAAGGGATTATTATTATGACCAGTATGTAATTGAAATTATTAAGATTTTGGAATGCAGAAATAAAGAAAATCATCAATCAATTCTAGCACTTGGGGGACCCCCTAAATTATATAATTCAGTATCAGGATGATTGGTATTAGTAATTGTATTATAAAATGGTATTGTTATAATGAGGCTATTATTAGATTGTAATTGAAAACTAATAAAAATTATTATCCAAAAAAAGAAAAGAAACAGGAGCGAAAATTGCCAGTTTTTGATTAAATGTCTGAAACCGAAATTAATCCAGCAAAGACAATCTATTTATCCTTAATCGAACAATACTAAATAAAAAGCAGAATGGCCCTTCTGGAGAGGAAATCCAGAATGCCAGTGTGGGTCACTTCTCCATAGTTGAATAAGGGGTCTCCTCTCCAGTCCCTGGGACACATAACCATAAACAGTGGCCAACAGCGCTTCATGGACTCTTCTTACCTGTGTTCCTAACAGATCCTCCTGTAAGAGCAGCCACCAGCTTCAGTGTCCTATTGGTGAGCTCTCTTTCCATCGCCTGATCCTGATAGGCTGCTTGGTTTCCACCTGGATAAAAATAAACCGGACCAATTGCCTCAGCAACAACGCTTCTTGTGGAGGAGGGCCATTTCTAAAATCAAGCAGGAAAACCAACTCCCGAAAGGAAACAATGCCATCTCGCGAGGAACTGGCAAGGGCTGTTGAAGCTGAACAGGTGAGCAAACAGGAAGTAGAGGGATGCCACTATCTGACTGAGGTGTAAAGGTAAAGGAGCCCTGACAGTTAAGTCCAGTCACGAACAACTCTGGGGTTGCGGCACTCATCTCGCTTTACTGGCCGAGGGAGCCGGCGTACAGTTTCCGGGTCATGTGGCCAGCATGACTAAGTTGCTTCTGGCAAAACTGGAGCAGTGCATGGAAACGCCGTTTACCTTCCCACCAGAGCGGTACCTATTTATCTACTTGCACTTTTTGCTGTGCTTTCGAACTGCTAGGTTGGCAGGAGCAGGGACCGAGCAACGGGAGCTCACCCCGTCACAGGGATTCGAACCACCGACCTTCTGATCGGCAAGCCCAAGAGGCTCAGTGGTTTAGAGCAGTGTTTCCCAACCTTGGGCCTCCAGCTGTTTTTGGACTACAACTCCCATCATCCCTAGCTAGCAAGACCAGTGGTCAGGAATGATGGGAATTGTAGTTGAAAAACAGCTGGAGGCCCAAGGTTGGGAAACACTGGTTTAGAGCACAGAGCCACCAACATCCCAACGACCACTTTGTAGTAGCAGTTACCAGGACATTACCTCGTTCACCTCTACATAGTTACATCCTTATTTCAGACATCGTGATATATAGGTATATCACAATGTTAAGCTGGTGATATAGAATGATACTGAAGACCAGACTTTGCTCAGCCCTAGTGGTGGGGGTGGGAGTGTTAAATCCTGCTCCGTTATAGGCAGGATTCAATATGAACCCCTTCCTGGTCGCCTCCATAGTGGGGATTCGAACCACCAACCTTCTGATCAGCAAGCCCAAGAGACTCAGTGGTTTAGACCACAGCGCCACCAGCATCCATGCTGCCTGGCTGAAACTGCACTACATAGAGCGGCCTTTCTCAACCTGTGGGTCCCCAGATGTTGCTGAACTACAAATCCCATCACCCCTAGCTAGCAAGGCCAGAGCTCAGGGATGATGGGAGTTGTAGTCCAACAACATCTGGGGACCCACAGGTTGAGAACCGCTGACATAGAGAGAGGTGTGGTTAATGCATTGTACCTTTCTTTCTCAATATCTTCGCCTCTTTGCGCAGTTGCGCGAGTAGCATTCCCAAGAGCCCCGAGTCTCTGAAGATATCTGTGAAGAGCAGGTCCCTCTGCGTGATGTTGTGGAGGCAGCGCAGAGCAAGTGAAGTGCACAGTGGATCAGGACTCTCCTTGATCAAGCCCTGAACATCCTTCAGGATCTCATGGGGGATGTACGAGAGATCCAGCACCAAGGACTCCACCAACTGGAAGAACTGTCTCTGGACCAGCATGGGCTTGAGAGGGATGATGCCCACAAACTGGGAAATGGGCTGCAGAGACCACTCCAGGAGGAAAAAGTTCATGGGGTTCCAGGTCCAGATATCTTTCAGGGCCAGCAAGATGTGCTGGCAGAGCTCTGCGTTGCTCGATTTCCGAAAAAGGGACTCCAGCACCTGGAAGGCTTTCAGGTTTTTCACTGTATTTCCTGTGGGGGGGAAACAACAGCATCAGCAATTTCTCTGGTATTCTCCCTGGGTGATTACCGTATTTTTCGCTCTATAAGACGCACCAGACCACAAGACGCGCCTAGTTTTTGGAGGAGGAAAACAAGAAAAAAAATTCTGACTCTCAGAAGCCAGAACAGCAAGAGGGATCGCTGCACAGTGAAAGCAGCAATCCCTCTTGCTGTTCTGGCTTCTGGGATAGCTGCGCAGCCTGCATTCGCTCCATAAGACGCGCACACATTCCCCCTTACTTTTTAGGAGGGAAAAAGTGAGTCTTATAGAGAAAAAAAAAAAAATTTGCAACCACTTCTTTTTTTAAATAAAAAGTCTTAACAGCTCTCTTCCTAAGACATTACTGGGGGAAATCTAGCAAGCTTTGCTGTCATGTAAATGCTATGGAAATTAACGACGGCGGTCCTGCTGCAATGTTTGGTATGTAGCCTTTTCAGGGCACTTAAACGAGAAGTGCTTCCATTGAGGAAGCCCACATTAGATGGGGATTCTCAAAGCATGACCACTTCTGGTCCAAATGTTCAGAATTAAAACTGTTACTGTTTGAAGGCACACGCTTCTCTTTTTTGTATATAATTTTGATTAAATTTTCTGTTTTTCAATTTAAAACACTCATTTTTACATCATTAAAATATCAATGACTTCCCTTCTTCTCCTTCCATGGTTCATTTTGCATATCACAAATCCCTGCACGTTTTACAAAAACTATACCGTTCAGTATTCCATTATTGTATCCATCAAAACTTATTTACACTGTTGAATTTATCTTAATGCTGCTAAAGTTTTCAGCTGTACACTATTATTTCCCACGTAGTCAATAAACATTTTCCAATCTTCTTTAAACGTATGTTCTTCTTGTTCTTTTATTTTTCTATATGTTAAGTCTGCAAGTTGTGCCTATTCCGTCAACTTAAGTTGTCATTTTTCTTTGGCTGGGACCTCGCTCGTTTTCCTTTTTTGGGGCTAACAAAACACGGGCCGCAGTAGCAGCAAACCTAAATAACTTTTTTGACACCTAGGAATTTCAGTCTGAATTATCCCCAACAGAAAGGACTCTGGGGTTTTTTTTTGGGGGGGGGAGTGCTTTAAAACATTTTTTCCAATTAATTATGGAAATGATCCATAATGAAGGAACACACTTCTGATCTCTTTTTTTATGTTGTGAACCAACTACTCTTGGCAGCCATGGAAGTGTTGAATGCCTGATTTCTGCTCACTTTTTCACAGGCTGTGTTTAAATTCCTGGTTGCATGTCCCCACAAATCATAAAGGTAAAGGTAAAGGGACCCCTGACCATTAGGTCCAGTCATGACTGACTCTGGGGTTGCGGCACTCATCTCGCTTTATTGGCCGAGGCAGCCGGCGTACAGCTTCCGGGTCATGTGGCCAGCATGACTAAGCCGCTTCTGGAGAACCAGAGCAGCGCACAGAAACGCCGTTTACCTTCCCGCCGGAGCGGTACCTATTTATCTCCTTGCACTTTGATGTGCTTTCAAATTGCTAGGTTGGCAGGAGCTGGGATCGAGCAACAGGATCTCACCCCGTCGCGGGGATTTGAACGGCCGACCTTCCGATTGGCAAATCCTAGGCTCCGTGGTTTAACCCACAGCACCACCCGCATCCCCTTTCACATTTTCATGCCATGCAGCCAAATTCCGTCACATCATTGGCCACATGATACATACCTGGAGAAGGGGGCTGTTTAGCACTGAATTGCGGCAGCTGGGGAGGTGTAATATTGCCTGAAACCTTCAGTTCTGTTTTCCCACAAACAGTCAGTTGTGCCAGGAAATCCAGCATTTCTTTAACACTGGCGTCTTCTTTGCTGCTCAGCAGCCCTTCATATCTGGGAATGCAGATGGAGAACTTAGTTATCACATGTGGGAACAGCAACTGGGCACCTCACTGCCACTGCTGCAGTGCAGAATCCCAAGAAGACATATATGAGAGAAGGAACAGCTAAAGATACCCAAGGCTGAAATTAGGACTGACTAATTCAAGACCAGGGAGGAGATAATCAGACTAGCTATGACATCATGTTGTCCAGATAGTGATGGGAGGAACAGTGGAATCTGGTTTCCTCTGTAAACCTAACTGATCCCCATCCTTGGACAGAGGTGCAGATTGGAACACAATTCACTGGGGGGAGGATATGGCAAGGGGAGCCTTTAATCTAAGATTACCAGACACTTTTTTTTCCCAAAAGAGGAAGAAAAAGTTATTTTTTAAAAAACAACAACAACAACAACAACAACAACAACAACAATAATAATAATAATAATAATAATAATAATAATAATAATAATTATTATTTATACCCCGCCCATCTGGCTGGGTCCCCCAGCCACTCTGGGCGGCTTCCAACAAAACACTAAAATACAATAACCTATTAAACATTAAAAGCTTCCCTAAACAGGGCTGCCTTCAGATGCCTTCTAAAAGTCTGGTAGTTGTTCTTCTCTTTGACATCTGATGGGAGGGCGTTCCACAGGGCGGGTGCCACTACCAAGAAGGCCCTCTGCCTGGTTCCCTGTAACTTGGCTTCTCGCAGCGAGGGAACCACCAGAAGGCCCTCGGAGCTGGACCTCAGTGTCCGGGCAGAACAATCTTCACTTCTGCAGTCTCCTCTGTCGTGTGGCCTTCTTCTGGGTCCCGGCCTGCTCTCTAGGAGCGCTAGCCACCATGGAGTAGGCTCGGGTCAGGCCTGGGCTTGGCCATGTGTCTTTGCCCTCCCAGTGCTCTCCTACCTCTCCTCAGCAGCGGCAACACGGCAAGGTCGGGGCTCCTTCTTTTTTCTCCTTCCTCTTTCTCTCTCTTTCTTTTCCTCTCCTCCTTCTCCCTGTGTCGACTCTGGGGTTTTCCTGGCCCCGGAGCGCCACTGGGCAGTCAGCCAATTGGCCAGACACTCTTGCTCCTGTCTCAATTTGGGTCATAGGGGGGTCAGCAGTTTCCCCAGTTGGGCCACCGGGCGTCCCCAGTTCCCCCAAGGCAGTGGTGGTGGCAGCGGCAGTCTCAGCAGCCTGGAGCCAGCCTGGTAGCGCAGTTGGCTCTGGCTGGCTTCAGGAGCTGCTCTCTGCCGTGGCGCCTGCCATTTTGGCTTGTCGGAAGTCCCCATATGATGTGTCTTGTGCTGTTGAACCAATCACGCAACATTCATTCCCTACTAATAAATCTACAACACTTCAAATATAAATCCGGGGACATTAAATGAAATCCGGGGACATTCCGGGGACGGATTTTGTCCGGGGACAGATTTGTAAATTCGGGGACTGTCCCCGGGAAATGGGGATATCTGGTAACCATACTTTAATCTCCCCTTTTGAACAATGCACAGCTGCTTAATACAACTAGCCTGGTGCTCCTCCTGTCGTGATTCAAACAGTTTCGCCATATTGGTTGAAAAGAGTTAATAGCTGCCTACCCAAAATTAAAACGCAGAACCAGAACAAAATGGAACTCATCAGAGCTGTCCCTCTCTAGGTCAGGAATTTAGAAGAAGCAGACATGTTAGAAAACCCCGAAATCTGAATGTTGGATGTTGGATGTAAACTCAGGATTGGGGATCTTGGGTTCTCTGCCAAACATATTGTTTTGGTCTTTAAAGGACCAAAATGAAGCTCAGAATGGTGCAACAGAGACCTAACAATTAAATTTGAAACCCATTGTAGGAAATAAAGTGAAGTTAGGGCTCATCCAGACTTCCCTTTGTGCCATGTTTCTCAGCACAGGGCTGTGCTTTCATAGAAATGTAGAGTTGGAAGGGGCTATGAGAGTCATCTGGGACACGGGTGGCATTGTGGGTTAAACCACAGAGCCTAGGACTTGCCAATCAGTAGGTCGGCGGTTAGAATCCCAGCGATGGGGTGAGCTCCCGTTGCTCGGTCCCAGCTCCTGCCAACCTAGCAGTTCCAAAGCACGTCAAAGTGCAAGTAGATAAATAGGTACCGCTCCGGCGAGAAGGTAAACGGCGTTTCCGTGTGCTGCTCTGGTTCGCCAGAAGCGGCTTAGTCATGCTGGCCACATGACCCGGAAGCTGTACGCCGGCTCCCTTGGCCAATAAAGCGAGATGAGCGCCGCAACCCCAGAGTCAGTCACGACTGGGCCTAATGGTCAGGGGTCCCTTTACCTTTTATGAGAGTCATCTAGTCCAACTTCATGCAAATGCAGAACTCTTTCAACCAACGTGGGGCCCCAACCCACAACCTTGAGATTAAGAGTCTCATGCTCTACTGAGTTTTTTGTCAAATGGAACTCTAAAGCTCCACTTCCAGGCTCTTTGGGTTTTTTGCCCCGGCCCTTTCCCTGAAAAAACAACAGCAGCTATTTACCACTGAATTGGAGCAAAACCCAGTTCTGCAGAAAACCCAAATTGCCATTAGTTTCTGCTCAGCATTAAAGAGGTGGCTTTCCTAACGAAAGAGGCAGGGCAAAATTAAAAGCAGAGTTTGGACACAGACCAAGAAAGCATGGACTTGTGGCTAGAAAGCTTGAGTCCTAAGAAGCACGCATTAATGAAACCAAGAGTCTTGCGACAAAATACAATAGAATTACTCAACGAACAAACACACAGTCATCACTCTGTGACAACCAACAGGCTGTATCAACAGACTTGCCTGAGAAACACTTTCAGCAGGAGCTGATAGCCCCCGTTGTTCTCAAACTCCAAAAGCAAGGCAGGAGAGATCAGGTACGAATCCCTCACAAAGCACAGGATGATGTTGACTGCTTCGCATACATCACAAGGAGACAGGGAGTCAGCAAGCCTGGACAAATTCTGAACGGAAATTTTGATGCAATCCATAGCTAGAAAGAATAATTAAAAAAGCAAAACGGGTAAATATTAACTACGGAAGCTCAACACTTCCACTTTCAGTACCCAAGGGTATGTCCAAGACTGGGTAAATCAGACCACTACTTCTTGGCCAGCGCTACAATACATCTTGTGGATCAAATGCCATAAATTAATTCCCTGCTATCGCATCACTTATTTTGTCTGTCCTGAATCGCCTGCCAATTGATTTCATTTTTCTTTGGATGACTCATATATGACAAAGCTTTTCTCTCCACTTTCATAATAATAATAATAATAATAGTAATAATAATAATAATAATTTATTATTTATACCCCGCCCATCTGGCTGGACCTCCCCAGCCACTCTGGGCGGCTTCCATAGAAACCAAAAATACACTAAAATATCACACGTTAAAAACTTCCCTGAACAGGGCTGCCTTAAGATGTCTTCTGAATGTCAGGTAGTTGTTTATCGCTTTGACATCTCGTGGGAGGGGGTTCCACAGGGCGGGCGCCACTACCAAGAAGGCCCTCTGCCTGGTTCCCTGTAGCTTTGCTTCTCGCAGAGAGGGAACCGCCAGAAGGCCCTCGGCGCTGGACCTCAGTGTCCGGGCAGAATGATGGGGGAGGAGACGCTCCTTCAGGTCTACTGGGCCAAGGCCATTTAGGGATTTAATGGTCAGCACCAATACTTTGAATTGTGCTCGGAAACGTACTGGGAGCCAACGTAGGTCTTTCAAGACCGGTGTTATGTGGTCTCTGCGGCCGCTCCCAGTCACCAGTCCAGCTGCTACATTCTGGATTAGTTGTAGTTTCCGAGTCACCTTCAAAATGACTATGCATCATTTTATAAACCTCTTTCATGTCCGCCTTCCTTTACTCATCTTCTTCCCCCCCCCCCATAACAATGTCCAAATATGTCCCTTCCTCATAGCAGAGTTGTTCCAGCCCCCTGATCATTTGGGTTGCCTTTTCCTGTGCTTTTTCAAGCACAAAACAATATGCCTTTTCCCTTACGTAATGATGTTACAATGATGGCAGTTTTATTTTCAGTCCTTTTGCTAATAATCCCTATCATATACTTAGGGCTGGGCAAGACATCAATAGATCATCCAAAATTGGTTTGAAGTCCATATTGTGATATCGGTTTCATACTTTTTGACCTGGCAATGTATCACCATTCATGATGTGTGTTAGGGCTGATTTTGGACGATATATTGATGTATTAAGGTAAAGGTAAAGGGACCCCTGACCATTAGGTCCAGTCGCGGACGACTCTGGGGTTGTGACGCTCATCTCACTTTACTGGCCGAGGGAGCCGGCGTACAGCTTCCGGGTCATGTGGCCAGCATGACTAAGCCACTTCTGGCGAACCAGAGCAGCACACAGAAACGCCGTTTACCTTCCCGCCGGAGTGGTACCTATTTATCTACTTGCACTTCAACGTGCTTTTGAACTGCTAGGTTGGCAGGAGCTGGGACTGAGCAACGGGAGCTCACCCTGTCGTGGGGATTCAAACCGCCGACCTTCTGATTGCAAATCCTAGGATCTATGGTTTAACATAAAAAATATATATATTGATGTATTGCCCATCCCTAATATATCAATATATTGTTCAAAACCAGCTTCAAGTCCATACCATGATAATTGGTTTCATAATTTTTGATATCACAATATATTGTGAATCATGAGATGTGTTGCTATGCAATCATCACAATGTGATGAAAACAGTGAAGCCAGCCAATGTCTCTACATAGCTCCATCCTTATTGCAGACATTGTGATATATCAATATATCGTGATGTTTAGCTGCTGATAGATCGCAAAGCTGAAAACCAGACATCACCTAGCCCTACATATAATCTGCTTTCTTCACAGCTGCTGCACTCTGGGTCAGTTCTTCAATGAAGTCTATGTAGGAAGCACCTTATGGCAGGCATAGGCAAACTCTGGTCCTCCAGATGTTTAGGACTACAACTCCCATCATACCTAGCTAACAGGACCAATGGTCAGGGATGGTGGGAATTGTAGTCCCAAACATCTGGAGGGTTGGAGTTTGCCTATGCCTGCCTTATGGGATATCATTCACTTCTTAGCCCTGGGAAATAATCTTTGAACCCAAACAACACCAATACAGATCCATGATATCTATGATGATCGCAGGTCATCTCCATCTCATAAGTACAGAAGAACATGGTTCTTTTTACCTTGCAAGTATGAAATCGTGTTTCTGGACTGGGCCTTTGAAATTGTTCGGAGCACGCGGCTTGTGGGTCCTTTCCAGGAAGGGCTACCTCGGTCCCAAAATGAGGCTGCTGCTATGATTAGAGACTGAAGGTCAGTAGCCATGAGAAGCTCCTCCACCCCTTGGTCTTCTGCATAAATGTTGAGCATTGTCTGGAAGCAAAGAACAACTGGAAGAATCAGATGCTATTAGCCAAGCAGACCCTTCCCTGGGCTTAAACACAATAACACCACCTCCTGCTTTGAGATATTTTCCCCATCCTGAGATGCTCAGATGCTCCATTTGCCTGAGGTAGCACTGCAGATGGTGACAGCAGTCACGTAATTAAAAGACGCCTGCTTCTTGGGAGAAAAGCAATGACCAACCTAGACAGCATCTTAAAAAGCAGAGACATCACCTTGCCGACAAAGGTCCGTATAGTAAAAGCTATGGTTTTCCCAGTAGTGATGTATGGAAGTGAGAGCTGGACCATAAAGAAGGCTGATTGCCAAAGAACTGATGCTTTTGAATTATGGTGTTGGAGGAGAGAGTCCCATGGACTACAAGAAGATCAAACCTATCCATTCTGAAGGAAATCAGCCCTGAGTGCTCACTGGAAGGACAGATCGTGAAGCTGAGGCTCCAATACTTTGGCCACCTCATGAAAGAGAAGACTCCCTGGAAAAGACCCTGATGGAGGGCACAAGGAGAAGGGGACGACAGAGGACGAGATGGTTGGATAGTGTTCTCGAAGCTACCAGCATGAGTTTGACCAAACTGCGGGAGGCAGTGGAAGACAGAAGTGCCTGGCGCGCTCTGGTCCATGGGGTCACGAAGAGTTGGACATGACTAACAAAGTTGCCCATGACTGAACCTAATGATCAGGGGTACCTTCACCTTTACCTATCCAGCCGATAAAAATGTAAAGGACCCCTGGGTGGTTAAGTCCAGTCAAAGGCGACTATGGGGTTGCGGTGCTCATCTCGTGTTCAGGCCGAGGGAGCTGGCATTTGTCCACAGACAGCTTCCCAGGTCATGTGGCCAGCATGACTGAACCGCTTCTGGCGCAACAGGACACTGTGATGTAAGCCAGAGTGCACGGAAATGCCGTTTACCTCCCCACCATAGCAGTACCTATCTATCTACTTGCACTGGTGTGCTTTCGAACTGCTAAGTTGGCAGGAGCTGGGGCAGAACAACAGGAGCTCATCTCGTTGTGGGGATTCAAACCGCCGACCTTCTGATCAGCAAGCCCAAGAGGCTCAGTGGTTTAGACCACAGCGCCACCCGTTTCCCTGTGCCAGCCGATAGCTGGCCAGGGAAAAGAAGGTTCTGCTCTTCCTTTGCTTCCTGCTCCTCCCCAGTCAGCTCCCTCCCCACATTCAAATGGTTGAAGGGTGTAGATCATGTGGGTAGTTTTAAGTCCTTCTCACAGTTTGCACCAGACTTTATGTTCACCTGGAAATATTTACCTTTCCCAGTTCCTCCCAAGATGGAGGATTCACCGTTGGGGCCAGAACAGGTAGACAATGCTGGAAGAAACAGACAACTGGAAAAGCACAGAAAGACAAGACAATATTGGTATCGTTGATTATATCGATAGAAATCAAAAGACTACTTGAATACGTCTCTCGCAATCAGCTTTGCGCCTGCTCTAGACTCCCCCCTACCTAATCCTTATTATTCCTCATTCATTCATTTATTTTACTTTCAATATTTTATATGCCACTTTCAGTGCAAAGCCCTCCCAAGGCCACTCAAGTTAACGTTTAAACTATACAACGCATTGAAACAATCTCCTTATAAATACAAAAGCACTTAACAGCCGCACAGCAGTTTAAAATAAAACCAATGAAAATGAAAAGAAACAGTAGCAGTTTAAATATCCAGCACAAGCACCTCCATTAAAAAGCAGACTGAAACAAAAATATTTGGAGGCTCGTGTAATGTTAATGAAGATGGGATTTAAACCTATATCCAACAGGAAGGAGTTCCACAGAAACAGGGCCAAGGCTGGATAGGCTCCATCTCTTACTGCCCAGTAACGATATTTTTCTGATGGATTTGACCATTCTCGTGAAAAAGAAACTGCTCTCTAGAATGGGGAAAAGGTGAGGAAAACATGAGGACGAGGTTTTCATGCTTACCTCCTGGGCTACCTGCTTACTGAAAATCTTTGGGAGGAACCTCAAAGCATAGGCAACCAAGGAGGCTATGCATCACCAATAGTGGTAGCACCACCACCATCATGTGTCTACAAATTAGCCTCCTTTCTGCTCTTCGGATGAAGATTTCCAGGCAAACTCAAAAGGCTGCCTAATCCTACATCAACAGAAGGTGGGATCAAAGATGCTGATCTTGGTTCAGGGGGTACACGCACTGGATGGGTTCTCAAGTACATATGCAGGCCTGGGTGTGAAAGGATTTCCCCATTCATCTCAATGGCAGGGGCACTCTCACGGCCATCTCCCATCACAAGCTTCAAAGCTATAATCAGGGGTAGCAACCTAAGGCCCAGGGCCAGATGCGGCCCAATCGCCTTTCTAAAATCCGGCCCACGGATAGTCCGGGAATCAGCGTGTTTTTACATGAGTAGAATGTGTGCTTTTATTTAAAATGCATCTCTGGGTTATTTGTGGGGCCTGCCTGGTGTTTTTACATGAGTAGAATGTGTGCTTTTATTTAAAATGCATCTCTGGGTTATTTGTGGGGCATAGGAATTTGTTCATATATTTTTTTCCAAATATAGTCCAGCCCCCCATAAGGCCTGAGGGACAGTAGACCGGCCCACGGCTGAAAAAGGTTGCTGACCCCTGCTATAAATCATCACAGGGTAGAATTGAGAAACCCTTAGCATGGAATTGCGTACATTTGACCCATGACCTGTTTTGTTCTCAGAAATAGGCAATTTGTCTGCAAGCTGGCAAAGTGACAGGAATACGAAAGAAGAAGAGAAGAAGAGTTTGGATTTGATATCCCGCTTTATCACTACCCTAAGCGGCTAACAATCTCCTTTTCCCTTCCTCCCCACAACAAACACTCTGTGAGGTGAGCGAGGCTGAGAGACTTCAGAGAAGTGTGACTGGCCCAAGGTCACCCAGCAGCTGCATGTGGAGGAGCAGGGAATCCAACCCAGTTCACCAGATTATGTGTCCAATGTGAAATGTGACACCACAATGAAGCTGTGTGCCATTCTTGCAAATGGAATGCAAAATATATGGGGCCAAAGGCAGAGGGTGTTAGTGCCAAGCTAGAGAAGCACAAGCAAATGCGGTACCCGTATCCTTCCAGGGACATGTCAAATTCCACAAATGAAGGTGCCAGGCAGGCATGATGGGAATCCAGGCTGCGTGGCGTCGTCATGGAGACCAGGCTCATGGCTGCCTGGAGAGCTACGGCAGAGCTGTTGGATACCCAGGATGCGTCTGAGCCCAGGGAAGCCCGATGAAGATCTGCGGAACTTTTCGCTGTAGTGACTACGGAACCTATAACGGCAAATGCATAGTGTCATGCAATCTGTTATGGATCTTGGGTTCTGCCTTCAAGGAAGAACTTCTGAGAGGTGCAACTGGAGGAAGAAGAAATGTAGCTATAGGAACACAGCAAAGCATTCCACAACTGGGAGTTAGGACTGTGATCTGAGGGCTGATCTGTACAACCAGTGCTATTTTTCTAGAAAAAGAGGTGCCATGAACTTCTCCCTTTTTCTCCTAGAAGGTAAAAAGGGGTTGAGGCACTCATCTCGCTTTCAGGCCGAGGGAGCCAGCGTTTGTCCACACACAGCTTTCCGAGTCATGTGGCCAGCATGACTAAAGCACTTCTGGTGCAACAGAACACTGTGACAAGTGCCAGAGCACACAAAAATGCTGTTTACTTTCTTGCCACAGTGGTACCTATTTATCTATTTGCACTGGCATGCTTTCACACTGCGAGGTTGGCAGGAGCTGGAACAGAGCAATGGGAGCTCACTGGCAAACCCAAGAGGCTTGGTGGTTTAGACCACAGCGCCACCCTATGGCAAAACAGTTGATTTTCAATCTAGTTTGCTTGAAAATAAAAGACAGTAACATTATCTAATACAGGTGTGGCTACACATCGGCTACTTGCTATTGCAGTTTTGAAAGCGACACATTCCTATTTTCATCGGGAAAATGTTGGAGGGTATGATATAGGCTCTGTTACATTAGACAGGGCATAAGAAAGTTATAAAAGCCCTGAAGGATCAGATCAAAAGCAAATCTATTCCAGCAGCGTGAAGCCTGTTAGAATTCCTGCTCCATGATTGCAGTCATGGGATTTTTGTCTATCACATGACTGTGTATGTTTGACTCCACAGAGTGGGAAGTGACAGAGACAGGATGTTTGTGATACTGTGTTCAGTGAAGTGGGACTGTTGTCCTTTGTTCTTTCTCTCTTTGCTGTCTGATGCTAGAGAGAGAGGGAGCCATGTTGCAGTGCTCCGTGTGTGTTTATATGTAAATAAAGTAGATTAGCCAAAATGCTGAGTTGCTGAGATCTGTCATGCATGATGCACAAACTCTGCGGATCCCTAAGTGTGCCGATGTCTTTTGGCATTGGTCGCTGTGATGTTTGGGCAGAAGAAAGCTTTTGAAGCTCCTGAATGATTGACCAGGAGGGAGGGAACATGCCAGTCGGGCATGTGTCTCTACCAGGGTCCTACTCGAGAGTAGGCTGAGCTCCTGACAAAGCCTACCCTTTCTTCAGGGCAGCTACGCCTATGAACTGTTGCCGTCATCCATGGAAAAACCACAATTACTGCCAAAGAAGTGTCAGGAAGCCAGATAGCTCCCACCCAAGAATGCCAGTCAGGAGCTTTGCAGAACTTCTGCTCCTTGGCCAGGCCTCACCTTCATTCCAAGATGCATGACATGAGCCACTTCTGCCACAGAGAGAAGTTGAGGATGGACTTACACCAGGCCCTGGTGCTACAAGCAGCCATGTTGTCCTGAGGCAAAGGAACTGTCTGAAAAAGGCAAGTCAAAGAAAGTAAGATTTTGCTCACATGGCCAAGCAAAGGCAACAGGAACCTTTGTGTGAGGCAGCCTAACCCAGTAAAAAAATAGCAGCTGCCAAAATCTGCCTGCTTCCACTCTTCCGGAGGGAGCCCAGTCCTTACTGGAAGAAAGGAGGGGCAATCAGGTGGGGATGATAGCTGCTGCTCTTCTGCAGTGACAGGTGGTCAGAGGCCAAAAACAGTTATCAACACACACCAATTCACTTGTACGCCATGCTTCCATTTCACTAAATAAATTAATTTAAATACTGTATAGCTTAGTCTTCAGCCTGTCAATTTTAGTGAGAAATGAATTCAGTTTGGCTAATCCTTATCTGAAATCTAAGCAAGCTACTAAGTAAGGCATGCGCCAGTAATATATATATATACATTTTAGCTGTGTATATACTTGGAAGCTTCATTTTATATCTATAATACAGATAAGTATGCTTATCCATTGGGACTGATCCTAAACTGGTAGCCGAAGCCAACAGTGCTGGAAAAATTAAGCATGTTTCAGATTATTATAACAGGCTTCTTTAGTTTTTGTTCGGTTGGTTTTTGTACTTTAAAGTGCAAATATTGATTTGTTTCATAAATGCAGATTAATCAAATACAGCATGAAAGTACGCCAAATAACTTGCATTAGCACAAATTGAGAAATGCCATCTTCGGGAAGGGACACCATTCTGAACGCGGTTGTCAACTTCTGTGCTTCCAACAACAGATTTTTTCTTAACATGCAGACCATGGGAAGGCAAACTAAGGCCCGGGGGCCGGATCTGGCCCAATCGCCTTCTCAAACCGGCCTGGGAATCAGCGTGTTTTTACATGAGTAGAATGGGTCCTTATATTTAAAATGCATCTCTGGGTTATTTGTGGGGCCTGCCTGGTGTTTTTACATGAGTAGAATGTGTCCTTTTATTTAAAATGCATCTCTGGGTTATTTGTGGGACATAGGAATTTGTTCATTATTTTTTTCAAAATATAGTCCGGCCCCCCACAAGGTCTGAGGGACAGTAGACCTGCCCCCTGCTGAAAATGTTTGCTGACCCCTGATGCAGACAAAGCATCTACTAAGCATCTTAGCTACAAAGTGGGTTCAGTCCCCATTTGCCTCAAGAGGAGATGACCACAAGTCCCTAATGTTCCAGAACCAAAATCCCTGAAAGGAAGTACCTTAAGACATTGGGCTCAATTGACTGGGACGCAAGTTTCTCAAAGAGTCTGATTAGAGGCAGATGCAAGGCGTTGTTGTCGTTGTGTAGCACCTCTAAGCATGAGGTAACAAGAGCGTTCAGCAGGCCAGCTCCACAGGCCACCTGGCGATTCTTTTCCATCTTCATCAAGGACTGGATGTGATTGGCCACAGCGTATTGGATTTCCCATGATAGCTGAAACGACAGAGGGGAGGGAACAGAAAGAAAAGAATATGAGGGGCTTGCCATGGCTGCTGCCAGGTTAAAGGTAAAGGGTAAAGGGACCCCTGACCAGCCGTGACCGACTCTGGGGTTGCGGCGCTCATCTTGCTTTATTGGCCGAGGGAGCCGGCGTACAGCTTCCAGGTCATGTGGCCAGCATGACTAAGCTGCTTCTGGCGAACCAGAGCAGCGCACGGAAATGCCGTTTACCTTCCCACTGGAGTGGTACCTATTTATCTACTTGCACTTGATGTGCTTTCGAACTGCTAGGTTGGCAGGAGCAGGGACCGAGCAACGGGAGCTCACCCCTTTGCGAGGATTCGAACCGCCGACCTTCTGATCAGCAAGTCCTAGGCTCTTTGGTTTAACCCGTAGCGCCACCAGCGTCCCCTGCTGGCCAGGTTACTAATAGCTAAAAACTGGAAAGGGGACATTGTCCCCTCAATAGAGGATTGGTTAAACAAATTGTGTGAATTTACAGAGCTGGCCAAAATGACAGCAGCCATTAGACTTCCATCGAATCAGAAACTCAAGAAGGAATGGGTCTGTTTGGAAGAATATATGATGAAACTTCATTCCAAAATAAATGTATCAACAGGCATTGGTAAAGCTAAGAAAAAAATTATCGTAAGATTGTTCTTGGGGTTAAGTTAACTGATATATATAACACAATGGTAAGTTTAAAAATATAACAAAAGATGTTGAGCTGTGGTGGAGGGAAGTCACAATAATAGAAATAAGAAAACTATTTATTTATTTATACACATGTTCAGTAATGAAATAGATACGAAATGGAATGTACTGCTGAAAACGGGAATCTACAAATGTAATATTCGATACTCTATATTTTGTATATTCTATATTTTATATTCTATTATATAGTAACTAAATAAACACTCAATAAAATTTAAAAAAAAGAAGATGAGGGGCTTGCTAATTTCTCCAAAGGAAACCTGCACTCTCATGGGATATACATAAACTAGAGATGAATCAGAATAATAAAAAAGGGCAGCATTTGTCGGATTCTCCAAATCTGAGAGCCGGACTTTAATGTAGAAACCTCACCCCGGAATTCAGCATCCAGCTTCGGAATAAAAATTTGAAATTTGCTTGTAGTGATGGACAGGATTAATGAATGGGGTTCATATAAAGTTATTAGATTCTGTTTCAAGGCAGCTGTCAAATACTGATTATAGTTCCCTGCCTGCTGTCAGATAGTATCAAATGTTCACTGCCATAAGTCAGGTTTCATCAAAAGCTAGCTGCTATTCCATGCCAGCTATCATATTATAGTCCTACTGGGAACTGAACACAAATGTCTGATGCCGCATATTGAATATATGGTTAATGTTAACACTTATTTTCACCATCAGAATTCGCAGAAGAGAATTTTCAGAAGTTTTGTCTCAAATTTGTTCTAGCTCCGGCAGAGAACCATAGGGACTATAAGGATAATTCATCGAGAGGGATTGTAGCCTGGAAAGAGTCCTGGGGGCCACAGAGAGAAACCTGAATGGCCATAATTGGCCCTCTAGTCTCCCTATAGCCTATGCAGGGACACGGGTGGCGGGTTAGCTGTGGTCTAAACCACTGAGCCTCTTGGGCTTGCTGATCGGAAGGTAAGCAGTTCGAATCCCTGTGACAAGGTGAGCTCCCATTGCTCTATCCCAGCTCCTGCCAACCTAGCAGTTCGAAAGCATGCCAGTGCAAGTAGATAAATAGGTACCACTGTGGTGGGAAAGTAAATGGCGTTTCTGTGCACTCTGGCACTCGTCACAGTGTTCTGTTGTGCCAGAAGTGGTTTAGTCATGCTGGCCACATGACCCGGAAAAGCTATCTGTGGACAAACGCTGGCTTCCTCAGCCTGAAAGCGGAGATGAGTGTTGCACCCCACAGTCGATTTCGACTGGACTTAACTATCCAGGGGTCCTTTACCTTTTTTTTTTTATTAACACCTTTGTAGGCTATGCACATCTGGGAAGCAAATCTAGCTGGGTCACAAAACATGAAGAAAGAGAGGTATCAAACTGCATGGTATTGTGGTAAATTAATCAGAATTCATTGTTATAGCTAGCTGAATACATATTATAGCTACATAAACTTGAGAGAAAAGTGGCAAAATTAATGGTAAGTCTCCTTGTATTAACTGTGCAAAGAACAAATTCCGTGTGACTTTGCAGAAATGATTTGCCTTGCTATGCATTTTTTGGCAAGCAGGGTATGTTTCAATTGTCTTTTCGTACTCTTGGGATTTTGTAAATATTGCCAAAAATCCAAAAAAGAAAAGAAAATGGTCGGGGCATGGTGGGATTTTAAATAATATAATAATGAGCTTCGTTGTTTAGTCATTTAGTCATAGTCGACTCTTTATGACCCCATGGACCAAAGCACGCCAGGCACTCCTGTCTTCCACTGCCTCCCGCAGTTTGGTCAAACTCATGTTAGTAGCTCCGAGAACACGGTCCAACCATCTCATCCTCTGTCGTCCCCTTCTCCTTCTGCCCTCCATCTTTCCCAACATCAGGGTCTTTTCCAGGGAGTCTTCTCTTCTCATGAGGTGGCCAAAGTATTGGAGCCTCAGCTTCACGATCTGTCCTTCCAGTGAGCACTCAGGGCTGATTTCCTTCAGAATGGATAGGTTGGATCTTCTTGCAGTCCATGGGACTCTCAAGAGTCTCCTCCAGCACCATAATTCAAAAGCATCCATTCTTTGGCGATCAGCCTTCTTTATGGTCCAGCTCTCACTTCCATACACCACTACTGGGAAAACCATAGTATGACCATAATGAGCTATTATTGCTAAATCTTTGGCCTCTTCCCAGTCCTGAGTAGAGCCAATGGTACCATGCTGCAGCAGAAGTCAACAATATATGTCTTCTTATCACCAGCCTAACAATGCTTCTGTTTGGGTCTGTACAGCTAGGGTGGTACTAGGCCACAAGTACATGGCCGATGAGCTGGGTTTGGATGGGTTAATGACTAGTTCAGGCCAGTCCTAAAGAAACACACTGAAATTGCTCAAAGCCCAAATGGACTCTTCTCCATCTCTAAGAGTTTTTTCACAAGAACTCTTAAGGGACCATGTTCTCCAATTCTCCAAGAACCGAGAGAGCATCTTAATCTAGATATTTTAAAGTAGCTTCTAATGCTTTTTGTGCTTTAAATATTGCACTTCCTAATAATTATTTCAGTGGGGGAAAAGCAAGGTCAAGAAAAGAAAAGCAAACCTATGTTGATCTTGGCTAAGTAAACAAGTAATCTCCAAAATAAATTCAATATGGCCATAATGGAGTACAAGGAATTGATTGTTTTCATTATGACAGCAGTCCTGCCAATAACAAGATTGCCTTGTTTTGAATAAAATGTGCTGTTTTCAGGGATGCTCATTCCAGTAAAAAGGGGTTTTTAGTGAAAAAAAATTAATGGTGGCAGGAAACTAGTCTCTGTTTCCCCAGCTTATAGATTGATTTTCCTACAAATCACTCCCACAATTCGTCAGGGATACAGGAGGTGCAATTAGAAATCAGCAGACAAGCTCACAACTTTGCATGAGGGTGAAGTCTAAGGGCAACAGTGTCATTCAGCAACATGCCATATACTTTTAAGTAGTTTTCATCTCCTCCTTTCCAGTGCAATTCACAACTTTATAGCCTTGGGAACCGTACCTGTGTTTCTCTACATTGCAGATCCTATGAATGTATTGCTCTCGTTTATTCCCATTTTTTATTCCCATTGCATTCAGATTCATACATTTGAAAGCATCTGGGGATTATTAAGCATGATATAAATATTCTAAATTAATAATGTTTGCTTTTGAGCTTGTGCTTTCAGTTTGGAATGCTTAAGGAATTTGATCTGTGTGAATTCTGGGATGAAATCATCAGATCTCAGATACAGAGAGAATAATAGATTAATAAGAACTCAGTTACCCATAATGCCCTAAAATTTCACACTTCCCAAATGCCCTAAAATTCTGCACAGATTCAGGGGGACATAAGGAGATTTGGCATAAAGAGGGAGAAATAAAATAGAGACAGTACTGGGCTGGGCAACACCCTGATAAAAATACAAATTGCCCCCTCCCTTGTCAGCAGATGGATCATTTGATGGGTAAAGAGATCATTTGATGGGTAAACCTTTCTAGAATAAAGGTTCCCTTTACCCTTTCTGGGACGTGGGTGGCACTGTGGGTTAAACCACAGAGCCTAGGACTTGCCGATCAGAAGGTCGGCGGTTCGAATCCCTGTGACGGGGTGAGCTCCTGTTGCTCGGTCCCTGCTCCTGCCAACCTAGCAGTTCGAAAGCATGTCAAAGTGCAAGTAGATAAATAGGTACCACACCGGCAAGAAGGTAAATGGCGTTTCTGTGCGCTGCTCTGGTTCGCCAGAAGTGGCTTAGTCATGTTGGCCACATGACCCGGAAGCTGTACACCGGCTCCCTTGGCCAATAAAGCGAGATGAGCGCCGCAACCCCAGAGTCGGTCACGACTGGACCTAATGGTCAGGGGTCCCTTTACCTTTGCCCTTTCTGGAAGTTGGCCTTCAGTGGATGCCTCCCCATCTTTCAGAGCTGAGTACTAGGGCAAAGAAAGGCTGCAGCAATTCCATTTGTTTTCCCAAAGTGGGGCTTCTAGGCCCCACTCAAAAGAGGCTGGAAGGAATCCTTTAATCTGAAAGCACTGCAACATTTGCTTTTGATCTTATGGGGCCTTGTAATCTAAGGAACCAAAGAGCCAACAAATGACTATGAAGGCAGGACTTACTTCTGGGTGAGCCTCATTGTAGAGCTTGCAAATCAGTTTCACCATGACACAAAGAGCCCCAGGACACACAATTTCCCCGTCCTCAGCATCTAACCTGAAGAGAAAAGACATGGAGAGAGTTCACGTAACTCTAGAGGCATGGGCAGATAGACATCAGTGTGTAATAAAAGACAACAGTTTAGAACATAAGGATATCCTTGCTGGGTCAAACAGGAGTCCACCTACTCCAGCATTTTTCTATAGCCCAGTCTAGAAGTTCACAAGCAGAGCAGGAACATGACCATAATACACTGCTTCATATTCCCTGGTACTAAGACAAATGTAAGATCCATTTGGCTACTATAGTTTTCAGTTTGCTGAACAGCTCAGTATTTGATATTGCAATCAGAGATACACAATGATCCTACCTATGCTTACCAAACATGCATGGAACTGAGCTACAGGTCAATTCCAAATTTGCACTTAATCCGAATTTTGCAATGCAGTTCTCCAACAAACCAACATTTAGAAAAATGCATATAATAGATTAAAATGTGCATAAAAATGAATATACCAGTGAAAACAACATGCAAACACGTGTTATATCAGCAGAAACTGCCTACAAAAATGTGCTTATGGACAAGAATCGACCAAATTTGGGTCACTAGTGGGATGGCTTCAAAGATAAAAAAAGTAGAAATCTGCCCAAAGACTTGCTCCGACCATAACGCTGTAAAGATGGAGATGAAACTAACAACTGCTGGTTCCTTCAGATGGAGAATGAATGACACCCTATTTAGAGATGAAGAGATCTACAAAAAGGCCCAAAAAACTTTGAAAGACTATTTTGAGATAAATCTGAGAACAGAGGTGGAGAAAAGAGTAATTTGGGACGCAAGCAAAGCCGTGATGCGAGGTTTCCTAATACAACAGAATTCTATAAAGAGGAAGAAACAAAAGGAGAAGAAAGATAAGATTTTGGAAAAGATAAAAGAAGGAGAAAAGAAATTGAGGTCCAAACCAAAGTCACATGAGATTTTGAGAGAAATTAAGTATTATCAGATGCAGTATATGGAATTGATGAATCAAGAGATAGAATGGAAAATTAAACAAATGAGACAAAGGACATTTGAATCAGCAGACAAATGTGGGAAACTTCTTGCATGGCAGTTGAAGAAAAGACAAAAATTGAATACGGTTACAAGTTTAGAGGTGGAAGGAAGGAATATTTACAAGCCAAATGAGATTAGTAACTGTTTCCAGAGTTATTTCAGAAGACTGTATGCACAAGGGCCGGTGAACGAAGGAGAAATAGATGAATTTCTTAAGAAATATGGATTACAAAAGATCTCACAACAAAGTAAAATGATTTTGAATGAGAAAATAACAGAACAAGAAATAGAGGGTGCCATTCAGAATATGCAATTGGGAAAATCTCCAGGACCAGATGGACTGACTTCCAGATATTACAAGGCTTTGAAGGAATGGTTGGTACAACCGTTGAAGGAGGTCTGTAATGAAATTATGGAGGGGAAAAAGGCGCCTGAATTGTGGAAAGAAGCGTTTATTACACTTATACCAAAAACTGAGACTGAAAAGAACCAGATTAGGAACTACCGCCCTATATCATTACTAAATGTGGATTACAAAATTTTTGCAGACATTTTAGCAAAAAGACTGAAGAGAGTGTTGGTGGGTGAGATTCACAAGGACCAGGCTGGCTTTCTTCCAGGGAGACATTTGTCAGACAATGTGAGAAATATAATAGACATTATGGAACTGTTAGAAGCAAATATTAATACGAAAGCTGTTTTAATTTTTGTGGACGCGGAGAAAGCCTTTGACAATATTTCCTGGAGTTTTATGAAGAAGAATCTCCAAGGGATGGGGGTAGGCCAAGGTTTTGAAAATGGTATAGGTGCAATATACTCGGAACAAAAAGCAAAATTAATTGTAAATAACGTGGTTACTGAAGAATTTCCTATAGAAAAAGGAACACGATAGGGGTGCCCAATATCCCCACTGCTTTTTATATCTGTCTTGGAGGTTTTGTTAAATATGATCAGAGGGGACCAGCTGGTTAAAGGAGTTCAGGTCGGAGTCAAACAATATAAATTGAGGGCTTTTGCAGATGACTTAGTATTGACTTTGCAACAGCCAGACACTAGTACGAAAAGAGTTTTAGAATTAGTTCAGGTATTTGGTCAAGTAGCAGGATTTAAGTTGAACAAGCAAAAAACTAAGGTTTTGGAGAAAAATCTAACAAATGGTGAAAAAGAGAGGTTTCAGAGTGAAACAGGATTAATGGTGGCAAAGAAAGTGAAATATTTGGGGATTAACCTGACATCTAAGAATGTGAACTTATTTAAAGATAACTATGACAAATGTTGGACAGAAGTAAAGAAAGATCTAGAAATATGGTCAAGTTTGAGACTTTCCTTGTTAGGCCGAATTGCTGTTATTAAGATGAATGTATTGCCTAGAATGTTATTTCTGTTTCAGACATTACAGGTTGTGGACAAAATGGACTGTTTCAAGAAGTGGCAGAAAGATATATCAAAATTTGTCTGGCAGGGCAAAAAGCCCAGAATAAAATTTAAGATATTAACTGATGCAAAAGACAGAGGGGGGTTTGCCCTGCCGGACTTAAGACTGTATTATGAATCGGCAGCTTTCTGCTGGTTGAAAGACTGGCTACTTCTTGAGAACACGGACATTATGGATTTGGAAGGGTTTAACAATAGATTTGGTTGGCATGTATATCTATGGTATGACAAGGTAAAAACTCATAAAGGGTTTAAAAACCATATTGTCAGGAAAGCACTATACAATGTTTGGATCCGCTATAAAGATTTATTGGAAAATAAAACTCCTAGGTGGTTGTCACCAATGGAAGCTAAGGAGGTGAAAAAACTTAATATGGAATCTAAATGGCCAAAATACTGTGAAATTTTAGAGCAAGATGGTGAAAAAGTTAAACTACAGAGCTATGAGAAATTAAAGTCTAAAGTACGAGATTGGCTTCATTATCATCAAATAATGGAGGTGTTTAAACAAGACAGGAAAGTTGGCTTTCAGATGGAGAGGTCAAAATTAGAAACAGAATTGTTAGAACCCAATACTAAGAATATGTCAAGAATGTATAACCTGCTGCTGAAGTGGAATCACAAGATGAAATGGTTAAGTCAGCCATGATTAAGTGGGCACAAGACATTGGTCATGACATTATGTTTGCTGACTGGGAACAGTTATGGACCACCGATTTGAGGCAAATCTCTGGGTTATATCTCATTTTATAACTTCATGAAAAACCAACTCAGAAATGAGGAATTTATCATATTAGGCTGCTGAAGGGAATCCTCTGGACTCCCATGTATTTCTTCCGAAATCTGTGGATTGATATAAATCATCCACAGCAACTTAACCAGGAGAACTTCCCAAATGGGGGACATTGTTCCCTGAAGCAGGGCCGGATTTAGGTTTGATTGAGGCCCTAAGCTGCTTTATATGTCCAGCTGTCCTTTGTCAACAACAAATTGTCACTGTTTTTTATGTTGAATATATGCTATATGGGTCATTTATGGACCTAATAGGTATCTAAAGCCATTTGCACATGCAGAATGCAGGCACTCTATATATAGAAATGAGCAAACCAGAGATTATTTTTAGGGAGCAGGCTTGCAGGCGGGGCCCATGACTAACATAATAGGAGCCTACACAACACAAAACACTCTTGCTGTATGTAGGTTTTATTTTACTTGTTTTTTATCTTATATTTTAGAAATGTACATCAAGGGTTTTTTTTCCTTTAAATTTTTGGGGGGTCCCCAAGAGAGGTCCTAAGCTATAGCTTGTTTAGCTTATATGTAAATACGGCACTGCCTAGAAGCTTTGACACTGGCTAATTGGGGAACAAAAAAGGGGACATGGGTGGCGCTGTGGTCTAAACCACAGAGCCTAGGGCTTGCCGATCAGAAGGTTGGCAGTTCAAATCCCCGCAACGGGTGAGCTCCCGTTGCTCAGTCCCTGCTCCTGCCAACCTAGCAGTTCAAAAGCACATTAAAGTGCAAGTAGATAAATAGGTACCACTCTGGCGGGAAGATAAACAGCGTTTCCGTGCACTGCTCTGGTTCACCAGAAGCGGCTTAGTCATGCTGGCCACATGACCCGGAAGCTGTACACCAGCTCCCTTAGCCAGTAAAGCGAGATGTGTGCCGCAACTCCAGAGTCGTCCACGACTGGACCTAATAGTTAGGGGTCCTTTACCTTTACCTTTTAATTAGGGGACAAGTCTTTCATGGTTGATATGACCATGTGTTGACATGATGGAGGGGCAAGCTCAGTTCAGGAAAACAGGTGCCTTGCCTCTATAAGGAAGCCACCAACCGCCAGCACAGCACAGTTCATGAAAAACTGGAGCTCTTTTTACCACTTAGAAAAGCATTTAATGAAGTTCTTTCCTTTTCCAGAGCCCTAAACACACATACACACTCCACACAGCACAAGGGAAGAGGCGCTTCAGCACATTCTTAGAGTACACATTTTGCATTCAGAAATGCGATGTAGAAATTGAAAGATTTACACAACCTGAAGAGACACCAGAGTGTAAAAAAGCAGATGGTAAAACGTTGCATATGTGGTGGAGTTGTGTGAAAATTAAGAGAATTCTGGGATACAATGTACAACGAACTTTTTAAAAAATCTGTAAACATTCCTTTAAAAAAAACAACCAAAAGCCTTCCTATTAGGCATTATGACCACTGAAATACAAAAAAAAATTTTTAATAAAAATCAGAAGAATTTTCATGTATGCGACAACAGCGGCTAAAATTTTAATAGCAAAAGAATTGGAAAGGAAAAGTGATACCAACCATATTAGACTGGCAGGTGAAGATAGAATATATAGAATAGCCAAAATGACGGGAAGACTAAGAGACAACTCAAAACAGAGACTAGATAAAGAATGGAATGTCTTTAGAGAGTATATAAATCAGCACTGTAAAAAGCGAAATGCTTTGACAGGTCTGGACTGAATCTTGCAAGACAATAGAGGAATAAATAAAAAAGTAATTCTAAACATCTAGAAAAATAAAAATAAAAAGGGTGAAGTAGAAA